TATTAAAACTCAGTGTACTGAATGGCAACAGGATATATAGATATATCTATAGATATCTATATATATGTAAATATGTGTATATATATATATATATATATATATATATATATATATATATAAATATGTGTATATATATATATATATATATATATATATATATATAAATATGTATATATATATATATATATATATATATATATATATAAATATGTATATATACATATTTATATATATATATATTTTAATATGTATATATATATATTAATATGTATATATATATATATACATATATATATAAATAAACACTTATTTGGGTGCGATTAATTATTTCACAGTCCTAATTTATTTATATTTACATACATACTTTTATAATATGAATTTTATTGTTATAATAAAATATGGAATACTGACAGAAAACGCTTATTGTGTGGCATCCTCTTGGTGTAGCAGCATAATCCAGGTTTCAAATTAAAGGTAACACTTTGAAGTTTCATGTAGACTATTCGGATTATATATCAGGGGTAATTACACAAAAGTTCCTATTTTTAAACCATTATAAAAGTGACATTTATTTGCTATTAAAATTGGTACAATAGTCCCCTTCTCAAGTATATATAGATGTAGCATGTTGAAATCCCCACCTACACCACTGTGATGGTATACACATGGAAGACAGAGATTTAAAAAATGACCCAAAAAACATAGCTTGGCTAATGCCCTTTGAAAAGGACGGTTTTATTGAGCTTCTGTATAATGTACAAGAGAGCGTTGTCCACAAGGCCATCAAAGTGGACAGGAAGGTAGCTGTGGTCATGTACTAGTGCAGGAATGTCAGCAAACGGGGATGGAAGATCTTCTCCTCCTGCTTACACATTATATAACCTGCAGAAACAAAAACAAAAGTGACCAACAACAATTCACAGTGTATAAGATTGGTATATCAATATGTGATTAAATTTCAATGATACACATGCCCTTTGAAGATGAGCTGGAAAGTTGAAAATGTTTGGCACAACACCATCTTTAAGTTGTCCAAATGAAACTAATACAAACTTATAAAAGCTCTGAGTCAACAACAATCTTGTAATACTATTATGTCATAGCAAAAGTCTGGCATCTTCCTTTTAATAAACCCAGCAAATTCCTGTAACATAATGTAAGATGTGTTGACAAACCAAATCGATTGGAAATCATGTTAAATTCTGCCTCTTCCACTGATGTAAAGTTGCTGGTTAACGTTAGCAGCTAGCTAAACTGTAACGTTAGCTGCTAACTTACTAACGTTAGGTCTCACTTTGCAGCTTCTTGTTATTAGCCAGCTAACGTTAGGCTAATAATGAAAATACAACAACACTCAGATTATTGTTATTAGCCAACTAATAACTACAACCACATCCACAAATATTATAATTTACACCAAAGATTAATTGTCATACAATCGTTATTGGTGTCAGTAAAACCTATATAATTGACTAATAGTCTCAGCCTTGATAACTTGCGCAAGTAGCCGTGATGCACAACTATGCTGAATGATTAAGTCATTTTTCGACAAGAAAATCAGCAATTTCGTCATGTTCAAGCATCTAGAATTATAGCCACGTTCATAATGTTTGTAAGAAACCAAACTGTTTGTAAATCCGTCAAGAATTCAGTTAGATAAGAGTATTTGTGTTCGTGCTGATCACTCACCTTACATTAGGTACCACAGAGCACAACAGAAAGCCTGCCTGAGGTAAGATGGCCGCCGGTGATTACGTTTGAGACTCCGCCGTAAGACATCTAGCCTTTATTATGGATATCTATGTGGACCTCCAGACCTCGGCGCCGCGCTATGACGTAATCGGCCTTCGAATCCGGTCTTCTAAGGATGCGTCCTAGGTTTTCGAACAGAGCCCTAGTGGTAATTTTAATGTAGGCTGCCGCAGTAGTTACCAAAACGACAAACAAGCTAGAGAGCGCTATCATATGGCAGTATTCTGTACAGTGGTCATACATTAAAAAAATGTTCTTTTTTTTTCTCTCAGACATTGGAGAGGTGCATTTAAATGTTATAGAGCTAAACATGTTAAATTGGTGACCTGTTATGTTATTATTATTGTCTTGTTGCTGCATTTATTTTGTCAGGAAAAAATAATCCTGAGTCAGTTAAAAGTCAGGGAATTCTGAAATCATGTAAGGCTGTGGAAACCCTGTATAAAATAACTGTATAATGATTCTCTAGAAAAGTCACATTATATTAATAGTATTATCTTGTATAAACATACTGGGACTCTAAACTAAGTTATTCATTTGTGACATTGACTTCTATCTTGTGATTTATCTTAGGTTTTTAACCTGTCAAGTTTTTTTTTTTATTTTTTTTAACATTACAATTTGTATTTTCCCAAGCACACAACAGTTTAAAGCAAAGTTTAGTTTGAAAAGAATGTGCAGGAAGGATTGAAAGGCATGTTAACACTGTAATGTAGGCTTGAGTTCATTATCTGACGCATGCATATACACACCAGGAACCTGTAAAATTAAAAAATACCGAATTACAAAAAACATTTTAAAAACAAACATGTTTCATTGATATATATACAAAAATGAATATTAGGAACTATATTTATCAAACATTATATTGGGCAAGTAAAAATTGTTTCTGGGCAAATGAAATATGAAAGTCACTTATCCGGTAAAAATCCTTAATGTCAACCCTTGCGGTACCATCAGTAGGAAAATAAAAGCAAAGATTAACTGTGATCTATTTCTCTGAGACAGGATGAGGATGGGTAAACACATCTATACAGTTACATGCTGTAATGCCTTTAATTTGGAGTTCAAAGTCAACATGCAGTCATCACTGCTCATTTGAATGGCACACGAATAAGTAGGAAAACACAGCTCTTTTGTTTTTCTGCAGTTTAGAAAGTAGCTAATTTTTACAAAGAGCTACATGAAAAAGCAAAGCTAACAAGGCCGCAGTTTATCTGAAACAAGCTGCGGGGCTTCTCTCCCATCCCAAGACAGACTTGAAGGTGACTTTAATAAGTTGCGCCATTCAACGTTATTAATCAATCATATATGCCTTGATTATTTGAGAAATGAAAAAGAGTATCCAAAGGGCATGCCGTTATCTAAAACACATCATTATCACCGTAGAGTGTGTAATCATGATCCTGTCTGAAAACAAATAAAAATTGAGCAAAAGGAAGTTGGACTGTGTTCCTAAAGGTTCAAATTGAACAATAAAGCCAGGGATGTGCTGTGTAATCTAATCCGTCAGTATGTTACCCAGTGAAGCCTTTCCCTCTCAATTTTTTGTCTGTGATCCAACTTTTCTGGATGAGGAAATATGGCAAGACATTTAGATTCATTATGGGCAACATAACTGAAGAGCTTAAACTTTATTTCAGATTGCCATCATTATTTTCTTAAAACATATATATAAATAGATAAATATATATATCTATATATATAGATATAGATATATATATATGTGTGTGTATGTATGTATGTATATATATATATATATATATATAGGTGTGTGTGTGTGTGCATCATGCTGTGAATAATGTAATTATTTGTCAAATAAAATATCCCAAACTATAAATTTTTCAAAAAAATAACTAAGATAGAATTTTTTAAATTTACTTCAAATCTGTGCTCCCAAAAAATAATTTTGTCATTTACCTTACACAGTTTTTAATGTATTTTCTTGTTTTTATGCTGTCACCCTTCAGCTCAAGATAGTTTCTGTTGTTAAACATGTCTTCGAATAAACTTGGACTTGATAGACTGAACCTGCATAAATGTGGGCTATTAGCAGGCAATTAAATCCTAACGTCTTGGTAAACCACCCAAAGCAGGCTCCATGGCTCAGAAAGAGATAGATTAAAAAAAAAAACAGTAATTAATTATTGTAATTTTTAGTCTATCATCCAACTTTTCTGGATGAGGAAATATTTCCAACTGTGGCAAGACATTTAAATAATTATTTTTAACAAAATAACTGAAGACTTTAAAGATTGTTTAAGATAGTCATCATTGTTTTTATTAAAACAAAGAAAAACATAAATAATAAACTTGGACTTTATAGACTGAGCCTGCCTAATTGTGGGCTATTCACAGGCAATTCAACTCCTAAGGTCTTGATAAACCATCCAAAGCAGGCTCCAAGAAAGAGAGGGATAAGAAAAAAAAAGTAAAACTCTTATCTTGGCAAAGCGTTCTATGAAGTTTATAAAAACAAAAACAAAACTGTGACCTCCTTTCTAAGTGATAAAAAAAGCCAGCAATCTGCTATGTTTTGAATTTATTATTACAGACTCAAGGTCCAATATACATTAAAAGAAAACAGATACACTAAGAATAAAAAAGAATAAGAGTACAACAGTGAAGGTGCCTAAACCTTCAGGAGGCAATTATACCAATGTCTCCAAAGCACAGATGAATATTTATCTGCACTATATTTGACATTGGTCATCAGTAAAATAATTCTATTATCAGACTCATTTAGACGAGAAATAAATGTATACATAAGCTTTCTCAAAACAGCCATAAAAGTCCTGACACTAACAGATACAAACAATTCACTGGCACTGGTCCATCTGGGCTTATTTAACAAAAGTCTTAGTGCATCATTATAAGCCACCTTCAATTTATGAAGACAGGCTTTTTTTAAAGTTGCACCACAAATGTGCCGTATACAGTGATGTGCAATATGATCTGAACAAGTTCAGTTTCATTTCGTCAGAACAGAATCCAAACTTCCGGACAAGGTCATAATGAGTTTTGATTCTGTCTAAAGGGCAAGCATTTATTTCAAATACGTCATCCTCACGGAAGGGTGTGTCAACATTTTCCTGTCTGAAAATAACTAAACTCGTAAGATTTTAATGGTCATTATAGTTAAAAAACACCGCAAAAAATATTTTGTTTTGATCAGATCTTTTGCTGCAACTGACTGCTTTTACCTCGCTGTCAGAAATTTTGATACGCTTCCTTTAAGGGGCGTGGCGGGCGTTTGCGCACGTCACACAAAATAGTAGATCTACATGCACGCTAACCTGTCTTTTAGGTTATGAAAATAACACCGGCAACAGTTATATTTTACAAGTGAGGCTGGAGTTAGCGGAAACTCAGTTTGACGCTTGCTGGGTGTTGCACTTCCTCTTCGGGGGGGTCGCTGAAAGCTGAGGCCTTCTGAGGACGCCGACATGCCGAGGCTCATAGATTCACTGCAGTCTGGACTGGACTTCCTTGACTTTCTGGGAAACCGATTGTCCAGATACAAAAAAATAGAGCTGCGAGAAATCTATAACACCGAGTTTAGGTTCAGGTACGTTTCACACGGTCGGTGTCATATAAAGTTAGGCAGTCATTTAAGTTTTTATTCATTCTAAAACGTGTTTTCACAGAGAAGGAGCAAAACATCCCAACTTTTCCAATGTTGTTTTTGCTCTTATGAAATTCAACCATGTCTACCTAAAAAAGGGGAAACTCTACAGAAATGTCGATCCTAATGTAAGTGTCATCAAGAGGAACCAGCTTCTTCTTCATGTCAGGGCATGTTTTTTTTTTCTTTTTTTTTTTAACTATATTAAAAAAGTTAATTAAAGGAATGATGGATGTTGCAGGTCAGGGTGTCCTCTGACCAGCGGTCTCCCCCCAAACCCCGCCATAGAGCTCAGGGGAAAACAGAGTCAGCTCCTCGCCCTGCACCAAACCCAGATCCTGGGCTGTCCCCCAAGAAGAAGCCAGCAGCAGAAATCCTCCAAAGGATGAAGACCAACAGGTTTGTGGGAGTTTGCGTCCAGTCAGAGCTCTTGCTTTCCAATTTATCTTCAGCTTTATGCGTTCTTAGTGTTATACTTCTTTTTATGTTTTGTTTTTAAAATGTCTTTTATGTTTGATCTTATTCTCAAAGCTGTGACTGTGAGAGGATTTGCACAAGAAATCCAATATACCTGACTGCTGGTTAAGCACAAATGCAAATTAAAAAACCTTGAATCCTTGGATTAAAACTAAGTTGTGTATTTCCAGATTACAACTGACACTCCAAGAATTTAATAATTGTGAGAGGGTTCCTTAAAGAACGATTTTTGTGAAATTAGACTGGATGAAACTAAAACTTTTCAACTTAACAAGTTCTAGATGGAGCATATTGACAGACAAAAAAATGTTTTATCTTAAATGCAAAATACAATTTTGGTACAACTGGTGCTCAAGGTGGGTTGCTCTGTCAGCTAAAGGCATGTTTTCAGGTCCCGATATTCCCGATACCTGGCTGTGCAGTATTGGCCGATACCATACGATACCATCTGTTTGGAATCGATGTGTGTGTGTAAATATGAAGAACTGCATACTACTTGGATGTAAAATAATTGCCATCATGGCTCTGTGAAGCTGCTGCCTACCTTAGTGAAGCAAGAAAAAGACTAATACAAAGTGAATCCAGTAGAACTTTTTATTGCCTACCTGGAATGGGTGACGATAGTTGAATAAACTTTTGGCTCTCAAAATGGTATCGGCGCCCTATTTATTGGTACTTGCCAATACCACCATTTTAGTGCTGGATTGGCGCCCCACCCAATACTGGTATAGGTGCAACACTAATTTATACTCCATTTAACGATTAAGCAATTACAAGTAGGCCACCAATAGTGCAAGTTCTCCCACTTAAAAAGATGAGAGAGGCCGGTAATTTTCATCATAGATATACCTCAACTATGAGAGACAAAATAAGACAAAAAAAATCCAGAAAATCACATTGTCTGATTTTTAAAGAATTTATTTGCAAAATATGGTGGAAAATAACTATTTGGTCAATAACAAAAGTTCATCTCAATTCTTCTAATCAGATTAAAAGCTTCCCTTTAACCTTTAGGCTGTAGCTGTATACTGACTCTCTCGCTTCTAATTTAGTGACCTTATATGTGTCTAAATTATAGGTTTATCTGTCCTCTGTATGTGACCAATAGTGGTGGGAGTAGATACTCTAGAGCAGGGGTGCCCAACCTTTTTTAAACCAAGATCTACTTTTCCAGTTGATGGCATGCCGAGATCTACCAAGCCAAACACAAGGGAAATTTGAAAAATCTGTCTAAGTCTAAAATCACTTCAAAGCATGAAGAGGGATAAGGGAAGTCCACTATTTCAGAATGATAAACTTCACTGGGCATTGGCATTGGCAGAGAAACCGGCAGATGGATTAAGATTCAACAGGAAAACAGATAAAAATAGGAAACTACTAAGTACAAACTATGTGGATGTGAAGATGTAACATACAGCAGAATGGGTTGTTGACTTTTTCTTTAATTTCGGAAAAAAAGTTCCTGTGATGTTATGAGCCGGAAAGCTCTTGAAATCCAATACCCAGCATGCAATGCGGCGTGTGGCGTCACGGGTTGGAGGCTAGAGCGAGAGGGCAGTTCTGAATGTAGCTTGCTACTGAAAGGTTCTGTGGAAGTTTGGAAATAAATATACAGCACAAGTTTACACTAACCTGACAACAGCCAGATGCATGTCTCGCTCCCCCTAGCTCCACTCACATACATCTGGGACACCGCTCATTGAAAGTGATTTCCACAACCAAATTTATGGTCTGGCCAATCAGGACGCAGGGCGGGTGTTTCCTGCATGTGACGTAGTGGAGAAGCGAGTTCTGTAAGTCGTTCGTCTATACTTTTTTGGTTGGCTTCTTTTTTTAAAATAAGTCTGCTGTGCACAATGTTGCCTTTTATCTGCACATTTTCATGGCACAAACGACATTGATCATTTACCGACATTGCGCTGATTCCACTGTTGCTATATCCAAGATGTCACAGCGTCACGGGTTAGCTTCGGTGTGAGTGGTTGAAATAGCTCGTCGATAAAGATGACAGACAAGTGGCTTATCCAATCATATGCAAGGAGTTTTGATAAGGCCCAGCCTTCAGTAAAGGCAATTCCTATGGCAGTGTCCCAGATGTATGTGAGTGGAGCTAGACGGAGCGAGACATGCATCTGGCTGTTGTCAGGTTAAGTTTACACGCCTCGTCTGTTCTAAATCGTCCAAAAATCTTTTGAGGAATCTGCCACGGCTCAGCCACCTGACGTCGGTGTGCAGCAGCAGATCTGTGGTGACTTGCACCTGCCTCCTCGAGCTGGGCGGAATAAACGCCTCTGAAAACTCCCGGCCTGAACAGAGCAAGCGATTTTCATCGCAATGTCCATGACATGCTTCATATTTAATATACTGCCGCACAGCTGTTGCTGAATGATGCAGCGGTTGATCCAAAAAAAATAGATGTCATTATCTCATTATCTCTGCAGATTCCTCTTCGCGCTTTAGAGTCCCTGGTAACAACCTAGCAACCGTGGCAAACCATGCATACGTTGGCGTCTCGTGATCAATGATTTGATTAGTGTTTTTAAAAATGTTTTTTTTTGTCATAGCCATAAATAGGTCTACATTGTAAATCTTCTCGCGATCGACTGAAACTACGCCCGCCATCGACTGGTAGATCGCGATCGACTGGTCCTTTTTGGAGCCATGGACCGGTTATATGTTAGACAATATTTTCACGGACCGGCCTTTAAAGTGTGGGGGGTAAATACAATCAAATAAAATGATACGAATGGCATAAAATCAAATACGAACAGCATAAAAATAAAACTCACCATTATGTTGAATTACATGTGTGCTCCTAATGTCCTGTCTGCTCCGTAGCTTTTTTTTGGTCGCTGTAACCGCAGAAAATCCGGCTTGTGCGGCCTGGTATCAAATGACCGACGGACCGGTACGGTCCCGGTGGTTGGTGACCGCTGCTCTAGAGGCCCCAGATTTGCTTCACCCTTTTCTACCAGCAATTTTTAATCCAAAGGTTTTTTTTAATCCAGTAAGAATAGTACTGCAATGGACTTGTGAACCAAACTATTGGTTGGACTCCCTTTTAAAAAAAAATCTATTCATAATAGGCATAAGGGAAATAAAAAAGAGAGGGAGGGGCATCAAATTTTTTTTATTTGGTTCTATTTTTAAGGGAGGTTTCCACATCTTTAAAGCCTATAAATATGTTTTTTTTTTTTTTTTTTTAAGTGATATTTATAGTCCCTATGACCTCATGACCCCATACTTGTTGATTTATGGCTCCAACTTTTGGAATCCATCACAATTTTATCACACATTTATATTGTCTTTAAATGTATTTCTGACCTGATGAGGTTGAAGTTATTTAAATGGGGAGGTGCATGAATATCATGGAATGCTTCTGTTCTTCAGTGTTAGTGTTTGGGGAGCTCTGTGCACAGTAATGGTGTAATTCAGTTAATTCTGAGGCTGAAAATTGGGAGCTGACGTTGATGTGGTCAGTTTGCAGCCCTAAAGTCACAGTGCTGGAATATGGAGTGGCTTTATGCCTCGATTAAAACAATAATTATAGCTCAGCTGAGAAGATATTCAGATGAAACCTGGTGTATCTTATCATGTGTTTTGTAAAATGTAATCAGAGAGATTCCAGTATCCATTAACAACTAAAGGAAGACATTGGGTTCCTGATAGAGATGCACGATATTGGGACTTTGGCCGATATCCGATATGCCGATATTTTAAAACTCATGTAGCCGATAACCGATATCGATACCGATGTTAAAGCTGGACAAAAATAAGTAGTCATTGAAAATAGCAGTTTTTTTATCCATTTCTGACACTTTGAAAAATAATATACTCAAATATATTTTTATATGCTGATATCAAATTGATTTTTAAAAACGCGGTATCGATCTATTTTACTTTCAAAATCTCGTGAAATTTCATCGTTCTGTTACAAACTCTCGTGATATTTTGCAAATTCTTGTGAGATTTTGTTAGTAAAATAGATCGATACCGCGTCAATATGTCAACATATAAAAATATGGCAAAATTTCGTGAATTTTCGGGGATTTCGTAGCATAACAATGACATATAGCAATATTTCATTAGTAAAAGAGATTATTGTGTTTTTAAATGGCAGTATATCAGCATATGAAGATATTGTGATATTTTAATGTATCAATATTTTTTCCCTCTTTAGAAGTTTTTAAGTCAGTAAAAAATAAGTTTTAGAGGAAGAAGAAGTATTTTTTTTTTTTTTTTTTTTTTTAGACTTTAGAAACTCAGAAACTGATCAAATATCGGGTTAAATATCGGTGGGGTGGCCGATGTCCGATATTCAGTTTTAAGGCCGATACAGGCCGATACCGATAGGGGGCCGATTATATCGTGCATCCCTAGTTCCTGATGTTCATAATTAATTTAACTTAATTTAACATAATTAGTTTAACTTTGCTGTTTGCTTGCTCAATTACATTATATGGAGTTCGAAGCACAAGAGCACCTGGATGCAACATGCTCTGTATGTTGATAATGTTTTTAAGCGTTTCTATAAAGAAATGTAACCTTCTCATGTTTGGCTCATCACAGGAAAGGAATGATTTCCGATAAGGGGGGAATTAAAATCGAATCAGACCCGAAAGGAAGTGATGGGGAAGTTCATCTTTCTGTTGCTTTTGAAAAGCAGCCATTTGTCATTAAGTTCACCATTCAAAACACTGGGCCACACATGGTCAACTTCATCAACTACACAGTCCTAGACAGAGTTCGCTGTTTCAACTTAAATGATCAAAGGAAAGTGACTAAAGCCAACCCACTGCTCCTGTGTCCTGGTAAGGAAACAATCATCTGTAGTTTGTACCTTTAAAGGATAAAAACAAAGTGTGATGGAGGTCAGTGGCGATTACTATGTTGCTTGTTTGTTTTTGCTCTCCACAGGTGAAAGCTATGATGTTTCTGTTTGTTACATCCTTAACGAGTGCGGATATTTCCCAGCCACAGTCTACTTTGAGTTCCAGCTGGACCAGCCAAAGCCAGTGACCTTTTGTATTGTCAGGGAGATAAAAGCAGAGGTAAAGACCTCGCTAGGGGCCGAACTGGGACCTGTATCTCCATATAAACGTTTTCAGAAAGTCAAATCCAAACCAGCGTTTAGAGAGGTGGTTGAGGGATTCCCACCGCCAAGGTAAGAAATGGAAAATTATACCTGAAATAATGTGCTTTTATTCGATTAATAAATCCCACCGCCTTTTTCTGTCTTTAAGCATCGCTGCATATTTGGTTTAGAAAAAAAAGTTATTTGAGCTGCATTTCTTCCATCAAAAGACCTATAACTCATTTTTATTTATTTTAGTCATTGAGTGATGTTTGTTTTTAATTTGTTTCAGTTCTACTGTTCAGCAAATGGAAACCATCGTGAAATTAGGAGATAACAAGTACTCCAACTTCCTGAAAGAACTGGCCCGTACACAAATGGAGGATTCCAATTACCTTTCTCCAACTGCCAGACAGCAACTTGCACCATTAAAGTGGGACTTTTGCTCATCTGATTCCAATAAACAAAAATCTCGGTGTGGTATTTTAATTTAATATTAATCAAACCTCTGCATCTCTTTCCAGGAAGCTTCTTCAGTCTTCTTTAGACATGAAGAACTACTCCCGTCGGTTTCACCTTCTGCTTCACTTGGAAGAGATACAGATGGAAGTGGACATTGGAAACTATGACCTCCACAATCAAACCATGACCAAAGATCAAGGCAACGGGAAACTTCTCACACTCAAAGTATAAATGTCTATTAAGATGTAGTTTGCTTTTTTTTCTCTCTATCTCTGTTTCCTCCTAATCATACGTACCATATTCTCTCTTTTCTTTCTTTCAAGCTTTAGACAACTTCATCTAAAAGTGGATTTTTATGCATTTAAGAAAATCCCTCATTTGTATTAGAATGTCAAAAAGAGAACAGAGCTTGGAATTTATATAATCTAATAACAAATAATATAATTGTAATTTAATATAAATATAATTTTATAAAAAAAAGGGCTATTATACTTCAATTATCTTTAGATAGTCTTTTTTTTTGTCCAAATCACAAACCTTGACCTAGAGATTTATTGCATTTAAACTAAACCTCCTTTTAGCCTAAGTGGGTCTAGTTTTAATGTAGAATTTAAACCGCTCAAAGCCCAGCCATTCTGGGTTTTGAGTTGGAATCGGTGCCCTACCAACAGCAAAATAGCCTCTTTACTTTGTGCATATGAAGAGAATGTTTTCAAAATTTTGTTTAATCTGCAGAACAAAACAATGTTAAAAACTAGATTTGTTTTTATGGTTTAAAATGCAGTGAAATTTAAATAGGACTGGATAAATTTTGGTTATAGAAAAATAAATAATAAATTTAAAAAAATCCATATCAAACAGGTTCCTGGTGTTGCTGAAAATCGTCCTTCTGTCCTGCGAGGAGACTGTCTGAAGGTGACAAAATCTCAGCAGACGGGCTATTCAGTCACGGTGTACAATGGATATGTTCACAGAGTAGAGCTGGACAGGGTAAAGCTGGGCTTCTCCAAAAGGTGAGATCCAGAGAAAAAAACAAAACAATTCATAATCTCTACAAACCTTACTATTCTGCCCTCCTCTTTGTACCCCTTACAGGTTGTTGGATACTTTTCTCCCCAATATGAAGTTTGACGTGGAGTTCACCATCAACAGGTTGACCATGAAGCTGCAGCATCGAGCAGTGGACCTGGCAGTAAAACACGAGCTCGGGGAGATGCTTTTCCCTTCTGATACAGCAGTACCAAGTTTTTCTATCACTAAACTAAGGTCTGCATTAAGTTAAAATCTTCAATAATTGAACTTTATTGATCTCACATAGAAATTTACCTCTACATTTAACCCATCCCCTTGGGGAGCAGTGGGCTGCCATCGTGTGGTGCCCGGGGAGCAATCTGGGGTAAAGGGTCTTGTTCGGAGACCCAGAGTGGAAGTCTGTGGGAGTGGGGCTCGAACTCAGGACCTCAGGATTCCAAGCTGTATGCCCTAACCAGAAAAAAGCATTTAACCTGGTTTTAATTATTGCTAAAAACATGATATTCCCCTTTATATGGATGGAAACATCTGAGCTTTGGTAGAAACTCATAATAATGGTAAAACTAAACAAAGCACAGGTATTTTTGAGGTTCAGCTGTGTGTGTCTGTGTATGTGTCTGTGCGGTTGTGCAGGGGTGTCTCAGTGGGAAGCTACAAGTTGTTAAGTGATTAAGTGATTCTGATGTTTATAAACCTGTTCTTGTTATTTTTTTTCTTCATTACTCGGCAGCATGTTTAACCGCAAACTAGAAAACAACCCGCAGCAGCGTAAAGCAGTGGAACACATCATTGCTGGATCATCAAAGCCTGCTCCCTACATCATCTTTGGGCCACCTGGAACTGGAAAGACAATCACTGTGGTTGAGGCGATTAATCAGGTATTAGACAAGTTTCTTACTGTCTAAAAAGGTACTTGACTTGCTTTGAGTATGTTCTACAAAATCAATACAGTTTTTTTTTTTTTTTTTTTTTAAGGCCGATAATTATTTTGACATCAGTCTAACTGATTCCCTTATGTACTGCCATTTTTTTTTAATTTTATTTATTTTTTTCTTCTTTTAGGTTGATTATTGCTTTCTCGTCCTTCACATACTTGATCTAAAAATGGCACCATGATAACAAATGTTAAAGTCTCATTTTAAACAAAAAGGCACTACTAATAATAGATCAAAGAAAATGTATTAATATTGGAAATCTATTGGACCTCATTAAAATGCATGCACCTCTTATGATGTCAAAGCATGGACGCTGAATGCATCATCAAACCTATTCACGCATCGGCCGAGACATGGAGGAAGGCTAATATTGGGTCAACTGTAGTATATTCCTGATCCATTCATCCATACGTCTGTCTTTGGGGTTAACAGTTCAGATACTGATGCATGAGCATGACTACCTTCAGAAATATCTTTAACCTCCAAGTCAGGGTATTCCAAATTCCCTTTTGTCCTTCATGTTTTAGTTGTTTTCCTGCTTAAGCACATCTCATTTACATTAATGGCTTATTTGTTTATTTATTTTGCTGATCTGTAATCTGAAGGAGATGTTTCCCTGCAGGACACCAGCCTTTTAGAAACAGCTTTGAACTCTACGTGGTATAATATTGAATTAGCTTCTGCTAGCAGTGGCCCTCATGATGAATTTAAGTCGATTTTAGGGCTGACTATTATTGACAAAAGAAATGCTTTACAACCCTCAATCTGTTCCCAAAATGTCATACAGGTACTTTTTTCACAATAGAGAGCTGCAGAGAATTGTAATGCAAACTATCTCTATATATGTATTTTAAAAATCAACCTATTCCACATTGCTACAAGGATTTTTTTTTTCTAATAACTTGTGGCTTTTTCTATTAATTATATTAATTTTCCAAACAACATTGACAACTAACTCTTAACTGCCAGACAATTACAAGTGAGTTAACATAAAAGTTTAAATTTTTTTTTTTTTTTTCTTGTGAGTTAGGTATGCCTTAAAAGCGGGTAAATAATTGGTAATCGGCTATGAATTAGATTTTTTATTTTAATAATTTCAATATTAGTCTAATAAGCCCAAAGTCAAAGAATATGATGTTCAATATTCATTTATTTTCACTTAAAGGGGCATAGTAATGTTATGACTTTAAAAAAAATGTATGTACCAGTGGTTCGATCCAGCTGCTGAACAGGTTTTTCTGAAACAATGCTGCCTCCTGCTGGCACATTATTTTTCTATGTGTTCGTATATATTTGCTATATATTTGTACCTCTAAAGCAGCGGTCCCCAACCACCGGGATATATATATATATATATATATATATATATATATATATATATATATATATATATATATATATATATATATATATATATATATTTTATCGACGATCAGAGTCTGAGTGGTGTTTTATTTTGAAAAATGTAAAAAATTGCGTTATTCTCTCCCAATTACATCAGTCGGTGCATCTGTGCCTCTTGACACAGGTTAATTCAGTTCAAGACGCATCCTATCTATAACATCCTATCTTTGTGAGGCGGGATTTTCTGCGGTTACAGCGAACAAAACAAAGCTATGGAGCAGACTGGACATCAGGAGCACACTTCGTCTGTCATTTTCTCCGATTAGGGCCTAGATCGTGGAATGCTGTATTTTTTTTATCATTAATTCCTAGTAAATGTATTGATGTTTTGTTTTTATTTTTTTTTACCTTAATTTTCTTAATTTGTGAACACCCAAATATATTTAAAATCTGTTTTTTTTTCACCCTTTATATTATTGACTAACTTTTTTAGTTTGCTTTTTATTTTTGATTACTCATATTTTCAAATCCAAGCATTTTCTAAGCAAATTGATTTCTTTTAAGCCATTTATTGCTGCCTTTCCTTTTTCTGCCACTTGTTCTTCCACCTCCTGTATTTCCTCCATATGCAGTTGTAAAATGTAAAAGCAGAGGGGCGGGCTTTGGAACAGCATCACTGCTGCAGCTTCACTCCTATTGGCTGAGGTCAGTAGCTGCTAGTGGTTGTCTGCCTGGTTATGTAGAGCAGTAGCAACAGCTAACTTCCACCGTGTTCATTCAACTTAGAAGGGTTATAGCTTTGGTTGTATAGTTAGAGTAGTACATTTAGCAGCAGTTAGTCGGGTTACTTTATTGTAATGTGTTATCTGTTAAACCCAAAGAAACACATTAGTTTGCAGTAGAACTAAGGTGCGTAGGTTTTTTGGGGTGCCTTCAAAATAAAAGCATGTGCTGCGCACAGACCGTTTTCCACATCTAATCATATAAAGCATATTCTAGAAACCTCACGGTTGAACTAACATCATGAAACCAGGTAAATGTGGGCAATATACGGCAAACTCCACTCTGATAATAATTTTAAAGCTATTTTACAAGGGATGTGTCTGTCCTGATAGACCTTTTAGTCTCATGTTTTTAAAATAAACAAATTTGAATAAAATAGAACAGTCTATTATGAATTTTGTATGTATGTATAGATAGATAGATAGATAGATAGATAGATGGCAGGGTTGGTCCTCCATTAGACATAGCAGGAAAGTTGGGCTCACTGGGCTGTCTCAGTTGTCACCATTCTGCTTTGTAATAGTTCCACAGTTCTGAAATTCAGTTTAGGCTCAAAACACCAAACCCTCAAAACACTATCAGGACAGACGCTTGGTGTATATTGCTTTATTTTATCATGATCAAATGGGCTTTGGTCTTTTTTTTTTTTTTATCAAAGTATATTTATGACCCTTTTTATGCTTTTCTGTAATTAAGGTGTCTGGTGGAGTTACTTGATATTTCATTATTCTGATATTTTCTGACTGAGTGGGCTGAGGAAGGTCATTTCAAGGTTTAGTAAAGTTTATTTTGTTTTTCAGGTTACCAGGGTAGACCCATCTTCACACATCCTTGCATGTGCACCTTCAAACAGTGCATGTGACCTGCTTTGTGAGAGGCTGAAAGCTCACCTCAACTCCAATCAGCTGTACCGCATGTACGCCAGTAGCAGAGACCCAAACACTGTCCCACCAGGCCTACTGGTAAGCATCAGCTGCTGATCTCACACAGTTGAGCTAGTTCACTTAAAAAAAGTGAACTGAAGTAAATGTTTGAAACTTTTTAGATTATGACAGAAAGTGTCTTTAAAATAACTTAATTTCAAAAAGAAATAACACTAACGGCAAATAAATTTTCTTGTTTCAGAGGGTAAAAAAATTGGCCACTAATATAATCTTGGAAATTACTTTGCCTACTTTTTTTAAATTATTTTTTTAGTTAAAAATTGAATTGTCTTTGACAAATAAAAAATTTTTTAGTATATGCATTGGAAGTAAATTGAATTGTCTATTTGTTATTTTTGGAAGCACAACATGATGGAGATGAATAATACTAATTGCTGCAATAGAGGGAACTTACTGTTAAGATTCCCCTCATTCAAATATTTACTTTCTGATAAAAAATATTTGCCTTTTTGCTTTTTTCTTTCAGAAACACAGCAACTGGGATGAAAAAAACGATTGTTTTGTTTTTCCAAAGAAGGAATTTCTGATGAAATATAAAGTTATTGTGACAACTCTGTTCACAGCAGGCAGGTAGGTCATTTAAGAGTGAAAAGAGAGAGAAAAAACAAACAAAAAAACCCAGCAGACCTTTGAAGTCCTGTTTGTTGCTCAGCTTACAGCTGCTGTATGTAATTTTAACATTTAAAACAGCTGAAAACTGAATGCCGAAGAGGCGTTTTAAGTTTTTATTTGTGTAAATGATTGGGCTTGTCTTTATTAGAGATGCACTGATCCATTTGTTTTACCCGATCCAATCTGATACCGATATCTGTACTGAGCGCATTGGCTAATATCTGATACCAGTCCGATTCAACTGTAAAATGAATGTCCCATATATCTTCCCAAGTGAGTGAAGGCTTTAGCCTTGACATAAACATTTTTCAAAAAGGTAACAACTTGACAATGATATAAATGTACTTAATATTATGTATTATCATATAAACAGCAAAAAGAAAAAAAATAGTTTGCAATGCTGTCAGTTGCAAACCAAATATACGGTACATTGGATTGGATTTCGTATATGAAATCGCTGATATCCAATACTGCTAACTGGTCAATATCGGAACTGAAAACCGATCCAGGTATCGGATGGCACATCTCTACTCTTTATCCTATTGATTTATTTTTTTCCTAAGCTGGATAAGGCTTGGTGTATTAAAGGTAAAGTGGAGGATTTTTGCGAATTTTTGAATAGACCCTAACTTCTAAGTTCATTTCTCCTCGTGCACGCTCTGTTTAAAAGTTGCTGTTTGCATCACTCATACAAGCTTACTTTCCAAAAGAAGATTTGCAATTTTTCCACTATGTCAGACTCACCACCAATAAGTGAAAATGGGGATGAGCACGTAGGTTGGCCCTACGTAAACATATCACCAGAATAATTGACAATTCAGAGGACCACTTATTTTGATGATCCACCCTGAAAAAGAACATCCTCCACTATACCTTTGAGACCTTATGTAAAAATACCTTTTTGTTTATATTCAGTGCCTTGTTATATTTTACAAGTGTAAAATATAATCTTTTTTTTTTTGTGTTTACATTACTTTTGGATTTAAATTTTTTCCATTACTTTCAGTTCTGGTTGGCTACAGAATATTTCTTACACTTATTTCTACCTTTAAGGTTTGTGACTGGAGGGGTTCCTGTTGGACATTTTTCTCATGTGTTTGTGGATGAAGCTGGTCAAGCAGAAGAGCCACAGTGCATTATTGCAATTGCAGGTATTTGCAGTAAAATAGAAAAATAAAGCTTAGGCTAATATTGCTGTGTATATGCAACTTCAAGAAGTTAAAAAGAAAATTGTTTTCATATTTTCCGAGAATTTCGAATTTTTAAATGGTTATGTTTTTTTTAGAAGTAGAGAACAACAACTGTTCAGTTTGGCATATATACAATTTTCTAATTCACATATTATTTTCTTTTTTTGGCCTAATGAGAGCAGTGGGCTTAAGGCTGCCCTGCAAGGCTTTAAACTTAGGTTTTTATTGGCGACAAATCCATTCTAACGCACATATCAAGGTTCTCATTTTGAGCCTGGATCCTTATTTATTTTTTAATAATGTTCATGGTGGAGAATCCTGCTTCACAGCAGCAGGTTAAGCCAAACATGCTCAAAATATGCAGGGTCATCTTAGAGCACCATTTCACTTCAGTTCATCGCAGTTCTTCCAGCAGTCCACACTTTCTTTTACTTCTTCTCATCGTCTTCTCCTTCTTTCCCATCGCCCGGCTTGTTACAGGTTTGCCTGCTGTGTTTAAAAGTAGCTAGCAGCAGCAACCCAGACTGACACCGCTCATTGGCTAATTTGTATCACGTGTAGCCTGGTCCCGGACCCTCCGGAGAAACAGGAGAAGCAGCGCAAGTGAAATTAGACACTGCCGTTGGACAACATGCAGTAATGTATAGATGTTGCTTAGCCAGCAGGCGCGTCCAGATCCTGACCGCGGTCCGCTAATCCATTGCCTCTGCTCTAAAGCCATGGTTAAAATATGGATATATCTCATGTGTTTACATCCACCACTGCCATGTTGTTTTGCAGAGTCATCACATTAAAAAATGTATTCACGTGCAGTTTTTATTTTGTTATTCAAAGAAAATATCGCAATTGCAAATCTTTGCATTTTTAAAATTTGCAGAATATCGACATAGTTTTGTGCACATTTGTAAAAAGGTGCTCACCTTTTTTCCTGACTTATATTTCCTGGTTTGTATTGCAGGTTTGCTCTCTCCAAAAAACGGTCAGCTGGTATTCGCAGGAGATCCCAAACAGCTGGGACCAATCATTCGATCTTCTCATGCCCTACAGTCTGGTCTTGGTATTTAGCTCACTTTATTTATATTTCACTAATTAACAATAAACATATATCTAGATATAGATGGATACACACACACACACACACACACACACAACACTATGTGGTCTATTCACTACATTCAGACAAACAGACTGAAAGTCAAATACATGGATGACATTTTCATCATAACTGTAAAGTAATGCAGCTAAATTATTTTCATAATTTAAATAAGTAAAACAATTTCTACTTAAGGAAATCCAACTGACTGCATTGCAAACACAAGTCTTCAAAGTTGCTGCCTTTGATACACTAGATTGTGACATGCATTTATGTGTGACTCACCTCCAGGTCTTTCTCTGTTGGAGAGGCTGATGAATCGTAAACCTTATCAGGATCTTGATTCTCGTTTTGTCACAAAACTGCTGCAGAACTACAGGTACATGGCAGACTGTGCCTTCTTACAAAACCTTATATGCAACTTTGATTTTTTTTTTATCTGCATTTGCCTTGCAGATTGTAAGGAAAAGAATTTATCTATTTTTCTGTATAAATATTTTGCATTTTGCCTAAAGTCCGCTGCAGTTCTGTTCAAAACATTTATTTTATTATGCAAGTAATATTACAGTAATATCATGCACTTAAGAAGCAGCGAGAAACAATGCCTAACACCAAAGGGAATGACGGACATGTTCTCAGTTCTAACATTTATTTTAAAGAGCTGGACAAGCTTATTTTGTTGTCTGTGTTACTCTTAGATCGCATGCTGCCATTCTGAAGATCCCCAACGAGCTGTTCTACAACGATGAATTGCAGGTTTTTGCAGACCAGTTGGAGCGTGAAACTTATTGCAACTGGGAAGCCCTTCCCCAAAAGGTGCAATACACCTAAAAGGCTCAAAAGTCATGTGAAAATTAACTGAACTGTATAATACTTACTGTGACTTCAACAAGCTCTTTTCCTTCAGTAGAACAAATTTGACAGCAGCCTCTACTTTCATCAATCTGAAGATGTGTTCGAAATGTTCAAAATGATTCATCCCTGTGTGTTGAACATGTGCCATGTTCAACACACAGGGATGAATCTCTAATATTTATTTCTCTGTACATTTATGCTGTTCTTTTTTATCTTGGAACAAGCTTGCTTACACTTTAAATCTTTGTTACTCTCATTAAGTTACTTTTCGCTTTTTACATCTTTAACAGCAACTTAAACTGATACACTTGGAAATGGCCTTGGTTGATAATAACTAAGTACTCTTCACAACAACAGGGTTTCCCAGTGATTTTCCATGGTGTGCTGGGAAAAGATGAAAGAGAAGCCAATAGTCCATCTTTCTTCAATGTGTCAGAGATCGAGACGCTGGTCATGTATCTCAACACGCTGGAGCAAACGCAGGGAAAGAAGGGTCTTCCGCAGCTGTCTGCCAAAGACATCGGGATAATCACCCCCTACAGGAAACAAGTGCGGCTGCACAGCGGTAACGTTTGATTTAAGAAGGAAATGTTTGACCTGACATCCCTTGCATCTCTGGCCTATAGGTTGAGAAAATCAGAAAGGCGCTGAAGTCTCTGAAAACACTGAAAGACCTCAAAGAACTCCAGGTTGGCATTGCAGCTCTTCATTTATATATTTTTTCTGAAAGAATATTCAGGAAATTTTTTTTAGGTTTGTTATCTCCTTAAAGGAGAAGTTCGGTTTTTTACACTTTAAGCCCATTTTCTGTAGTGTCCAGGATGAAATCGAATGATCGACACCAAAAGTTTGACAATTGCTCCTGTCTCTGCTTTTTGGCTCATTTAGAATCAACCCCTGGCTGCTTCATAATGGCTAGCATAGAGCATGTCCGATAATGTCCTTAAAACAACCTTAAACGTTCTTTTTTTTAAATATGCTACTCACCGTGTCGTCAGCGCTGTTCAATGACGTTCCAAAAAAAGTTTCGTGAAGAAAAACCGTTCCTGTCTTGTTTTATTTAGCATTTTGTAAATCCCATTGAGTTCTGTTGGAATAGTCAATATTCCGCTGCCACCGGAAACGGAAATGGGGCCTGTTTACACAGTTGTAGTCTTTTCGCTTCACTCTGTGTACTCCGACGTCGAGGTGCTAACGTCTCTGTTAAACACTTTAAAAAAACTCTGAAAATGGAATACGAAAGGTGGATTCTTGATTCTCGACGTCGGAGTACACAGAGTGAAGCGAAAAGACTACAACTGTGTAAACAGGCCCCATTTCCGTTTCCGGTGGCAGGGGAATATTGACTATTCCAACAGAACTCAATGGGATTTACAAAATGCTAAATAAAACACTACAGGAACGTTTTTTCTTTACGAAACTTTTTTTGGAACGTCATTGAACAGCGCTGACGACCCGGTGAGTAGCATATTTAAAAAAAAGAACGTTTAAGGTTGTTTTAAGGACATTATCCGACATGCCATTATGAAGCAGCCAGGGGTGGATTCTAAATGAGCCAAAAAGCAGAGACAGGAGCAATTGTCAAACTTTTGGTGTCGATCATTTGATTTCATCCTGGACACTACAGAAAATGGGCTTAAAGTGTAAAAAACCGAACTTCTCCTTTAATATATTTCCAGTTAGATACTTTCTCTGGAATTTTTATATACATAATTTTTCTTTTGCTGTATAGTAACACATTATTGCTCCTCCCCTTCCTGTTAATGCACAGTGCCATTTACCCACCAGAAAGGAAAGCTAAAAGTTTCACAGAGTGTTTAAATCTGTTAGTTGGTACTCAAGCAAATAGGCTGATTAAAATGTAAAAAAAAAGAATTATAACCTTTGATGTTTGTTAATATTTTAATTCAGGTAGGATCTGTCGAGGAGTTTCAGGGCCAGGAGAAAAAGATCATCATAATCTCCACAGTGCGTAGCAGTCTCAGCTACGTTAAGATGGACACAGACTTTAATATAGGGTTCCTTTCAAATGAAAAGGTTTGTCTAATTTCTTATTAATTCAAATATACACATATCTCTTTCCCTTTCTCATTATAGAAAAAATAAAAATCACAACTTTCTTGTATGTATTTTTGCTTTAGAGGTTCAACGTGGCCATGACAAGAGCAAAGTCTCTTCTTATAGTCATAGGGAACCCTGTGATCCTCAGAAAGGACCCTGTATGGCAGAAGTAAGTCGGATGATTGAAGTTTTCCTCATTGTCATATGAATGCACTAAGATCAGGAGCTTATCTGAACTACACAAATTTTATTCTGGGAGAACATTCATGGGAAGTGTTACATAAAATTTAAATGGACCCCAATATAGCTTTTATTAGTGATAGGATTAAAAAAAACACCATTTCATTAAAATTTGGACACTTTTATTATATGGCTTTACCAGGTCTGCATATTTTCAATCATCTATGTCACCATATTTCAAGCTAATCAGTATCAAGCCACTTCTACCTGCTGTAATGCTGTCTGTCTGTCTTTCTAAGCCGATTTTACTTTGAAATATACTTTATTGTATAAATGACACATAAAACAAAAAAAACAACAACAAAAAAACTCGACATTCATGAGTTTAATAGCACGCTCAATTTTATGTGGATGATGGTTAAGAGAAATATGGTAAAGCTACATTTAGCCTGCTGATATTATTTTATTTGCTTGAAAGACATAATCTTGGAACATCTAGCTTTTTTGCCCTTAAAGTGATGGCTTTGATAGATTCTAGGGCTCCGAAGCATTTTCTACAGCAATGGGGAATTAGGGGTGGATGCTAAAACCTTCTTGCACACTTTATGATTTCCCCTGATAATATGTAGATCAACCACTTTTAAAAGATTTTGTATTTATTTTTTTTAGATCCTGAGAGTGCTAATTGTCTGGAAAGCAGCATTAATAGGACTAAATTCCCCATGCCTCTACAACTACCTGTTCAACTTTAAAAAACAAACAAAACAACTGTTATTTGGCTGCAGCACTGCACTTGTGAATTATGTTGATTACTATTTGCTCATGACAAACCTGTCTAATAACCCTAACCCTAAACCTACCCTAACCCAGGGTAAAAAATATATGCATCTGTTTAGAGGAAATGATTTGCAGGTATAGAACGTGTTCAACAATGTGACTCAAACATAACCTTATAAGTTTACAGTTGATGTTTCTACCTTTTTCTGTCTTTTGCAGATTTATCCACTACTGTGTGGAGATGAAGGGCTACAAAGGTGTTGATTTCAATAATGTGGATGAGGAAGATCTCTTTGAGGCCAAAATGGCAGCCCTGAAAATCACTGACTCTGAATGTTTGTACTGTTTTTGCTTTTCATTACCAAAGAAATCTTTATAATCATTTAGTCTTGGATACAGTTGGAAAGTTATTTACTTTACTAAAATATTTTCTTATTTTGTTTTAAAAAAAGCCTTTGTTGCTAATGACTTGCATTTCAAATACTACTTCTTTGCTTTATTCTCAGTTAAAAAATCAATATATCTCAGACTATTATTATCTAAATGTATTTATTTCAGGAACTCTCTGTTCACCATGGGAACATAATATAAGTTAATTATGTTGGCTACAAACAGATATTTCTTTTGTGTCAACAAATAATAAAAAACAGTATTTAAGAGTAAATTATTAAAGTAGACCATTAGAAAAATTATCTAAATACAGTTATCTGGGTTTTAATATTGTAAATACATTTTTTTTATTTTGTAAAATTAGAAAGTTCATTCCTAAAATGAACCTGTATTTGTTTAATTACCTGTTGTTAGATATTGAATAATTCAAGTTTCTGTCTGTAGGTCCTGCTGAAGAGATGAGTGTCTTCCAGCAGCATGTGGATCCTGGATGGAAGAATGAACATTAGACTCTCAAATTTTCAACTGCATCTTTTTAAAGGACAGAGATTTTTGTTCCAACGAGATGTCTAGCAAATCTTCTCCTTTCCCCCTCTCCTTCTGCATCTATTGTAGCGCACACAATTTAAAGTGTATTTAAAGGAAATTATGCAAGTAGGTTTGACTTTTTACACCTTTTGACCCTTCAGTCTTTAAAAAAAGCACAAATAAATATTGCTACACAGATCAAGATGTTAATTTCTTCCACTGATACATATCACTTTTTCCTCACTGATGCTCTCACTTGTCAAGCCTTACTCATGAACTTTCTATGCATTTCTTATCTAAGGGCTAAACATGAATAAACTTTTTTGAAACACTGTACATTAAAGCTGTTTGGTCCCATCTGTGTCTCACAATGTGTTAAGAAAAACAAAGACTGATTTGATCTGTTTCAGAAATTTATGAGATGGTGGAAAAAACAAGTCTGGTTTAAAGACTGTACTATGATTACCTATTTATAAAATATTGACAGGGACACCAAATACTTATGAGCACATGGATGAAAGGGAGCCAATTTTCTTCCAATTTGATTTTATTTCTTTGCTCTTTTGTATTTTTTTTCTCTCCTTTGGAAATAATTAATTATCTCCAAACGAATTAAGAAGGAAAGAGCATTAATGAGGATCAATACTGTTGGATGTGATGTTAGATGTGGAAAAATTTTATATGAATGTTAAATTATCTATGTTCAGAGAGGAAAAAAAATGCAAAAGGTAATGTTTCAAAAATATTTTATTGATTAATGTATGACATTCACAAGATAATCTTAAATACAGTTATGACTTTACTGTTTATCGAAAGAGGAAAAGTAAAGAAGCATTTTTCATGGACTTGAGATGGTTAAACCTGTAACCCAGAGGGTTTTCCCCGGTATGTCACTGTTCACTATAATTAGGTTTTCCTGGAGGTTAACTGCTTACAAAATAGCAGCAGTATACCATTAGTGACTGGTTTAATTTTTCACCTGCTGTGGCTTTGCTGGGATTTTTTTTCTTCTCTCTTTTTTATATACGGTTTTCTTAAAAGCCTCCTGAAAATTCATTAGCTTAGAGCTTAATGAACCTTCCAAATGAAGCCCCAGCTATCACATAACACAAGGCCTCTAGATTAATATTTTTTTTTTTAATTAAGGAAATCATTCTTAACTAAATTTCTTTTTGTTTACACTTGTGTATACAAAATGACAAAATAAATCTAGGTCTAAATCTACATATATTCTCCAGTATGTGTTTTTGCCTTCATGCTGAGCTTCTTAAAATCAGCACTTCAGGATCTAACCTACACTGTTGCTCAGTCATTAACCAGAAATGATGTTAGGCTTGATTTGCATGCTGCAGTGTAAGGCAATAGCTGCACATCTTACTACCCGTGTGCTTGGTTCTGTGCATTGTAAGGCAGCATGATGAACTCAAAATATATAAACTCTTCATGTGAAAAAGCTTTGGAGACAAATGAGCAATACAGGCAAAAAGTAAATGCATTACTAGCTTAAAGGTTGAGGTTTGCTGCTATAAAATGGCATGAGTTCATTTGTACGTAGGTACGCAACTATAAAGCAATAACTTTTTTTGTTTTGTCAGTTTTTGTAATTCATCCTGGAGTTTAAAATTCAAACTACAGCAGTATTTCTCAACAGGGAAAATAAGCTACTACGCTATCTTCCAAAGCAGATAAATCATAGGGAAGCCTTTTAAACATGTCAAGAAGTTTACTCTTCTTTGCTTTTCTCAGACATGAACAGAACTTCTTACTGGAAATGTGAGATGTTTAAACAGGTTGTGATTTCCATGACTGGGCCAAATGGTCGACTGTTTAGATTCCAGCAGCAGGTGTGACTGGTTCATTTGAAAAGAAGCAGAAAAATGTGCAATAAGCAAACAGGCCATGACCTTTGTGGAATCTTCAATACGCAGACTTCCTTTTGCTCCTGACTGTTACTGTGCACATATGAGTCACACTGACTTCTGTCTCAGCTGGTCACCTCTCCCTCAGATCATCCACTGATGACATAATGCTTATCGAGGAGAAGTCTGGCAATTGGAAAACTTATTCCTTCACAGATAATTTCCCTTGCATTAGAAGCCACAGACTGTCTCATGTATACTGTTTGTAGACATAAACCTGAGAATGTACAGGAGCCCAAGCAGCCATTTTCTGTATCTGCCAGAGGGGCTAACTGTTTTGATTTGTTACAACATATCGAAAAGGTCCTCTGTTCATATTTTAGCCCATTCAAAATGCAGGGTACATAGATGGGTATGTGCAAAGTTAAAGCAGGCAATAGCTCTACCAGTTAAAGGGCATTTCCCTTGTAAACATAGCTGGACTTGTAACACCGGACTATTTCTGTAAAGACAACAGAAGCTGAAAAGGATGGTGTTTGCCCAGGCTTAAAAAAAAAATACCCGAGTAGAAAAACACAGCAAGTCTTGAAATAACAGAATGGAACAAAAGCAACAACAACAAAAAAGGCTTTAAACATCACTTTTAGTCATAATAATATACAATAATGCCCATTCCCTGTACTTTGTATGTTTGTCTTCAACCCACTTGCCTGCCAGTTTGTTTCTTCCTTAAATAAAAAAAAGAGATACAGTACAAAGATCCATTTGATGAAAAGTCAGTCCTTTGGTGCATCCTGCTTTAGTTTCACTGGTCAGTAAAGGCTGTTAGGCCTGGGTGTGGCTCACAGCAGCATGCAGCCTTTGATAGTTTTATTGGACTTTCTGACCTGCAGGGCTGCTCTTGTTGCCATGTCAAACACGTCACGAACAGCATCTTTTGTCTTTGCAGAGCACTCCAAGAAGCCGAAAGCTTTGATCCTAATGGCCATCTCTTTTCCATCTTCTGTCTTTACCGGCTCCTGCAGGATTAGACCATAGGCGTTTAGAATTGATAGATACCATTAATAAAAAAATACTAGTAAGAAAGTAACATGACCTTTTGTCTTACTATAATTTGTTTTAAGCTATTCTTCTTTAAGATAGTAAGTACTCTTAGATCATAGCTTCTGTGCTTTTTATAATGCATGTCTTCTGACATTTTTAAAACCCAGAGATGGTCATGGAAAATAGCCATTATACTGAGCCAGGTTCTACTGGAAGTTTCTTTTTAATAGGTTTTTTTTCTCTCTGTTGTTGCTACATGCATGTTAACTATGAACGATTGCTGCAAAGTCAATGTCACAATGCAAGCAACTGTCCAATGGCACTGTCTACTCATCCAGGAGGATAAATAAATATTCTTTATAGATAAAATAGATTCTATTAAAATGATTGTCAGCTCTCTAAAGGCCTATTTACAATACCCTTTTGAAACTGTGCTGAGATCGGTCCGAGCACGGTAACCGGGATAACAGTTTAGTGTAAATGGCAAGCACAACTGAACCGCACTAACATGGTACTAGTTCATCAGTAGGTCTTGGCACGGTTCATTTCCAGCTCAGTTCTCAGATAACAAAGAGCACTGAGCAGACCGGGCCATCTCCTTACAGTCAGCCTCCGTAATCATGAAACTTCAGACATTCATAAAAATACTAGCTTCTGTACTGTGCCACATGATTTCTAGTAATGATTCTGCTTAACAGTTTGATGAACCTCAACTCCTTTCTTTGTTTCCTGCGTCTGTAAGCCCTGATTAGACAATCGTTTGTCGTATCCACTTCCCAAAACCCAAAAACCGACTCTGTCAAGTAAATTTACCAAAGGCAGCCTTTGCCTAACTCTCCGCAAACAACCAAATATCGCAATGATAACAAAACATAACTTCCTGATTGTTGCGGGTACCACCATGTTGATTTGCTTGTTTACCTCTAGAGAGCAGTAGTACCATAGATCGTCACTAGGAGGTAAGGAACCATGCTGGCGTGGTATGTAAATGGTCGTTAGCAACCAAGCTCGGGACCGATCGGTTTTCCGACGGTAGTGTAAATGGGGCTGAAGTGTGCTTGGTTCGTCTCTGGGGGGTAGGGCAGTGTCTGGCTGTGGAATTGGGCCGACTTTGGATTTCTTTGATCCAATTAAACTTTGAGAGTTGGCAAAACCATAATCCTCATCTATGCCTTCAACGTGTATGTTAGATCCAGTTCCACCTAGGTTATTTAACAAAGTATTCCCCCTGTGTTCCTCCTCCATTTTAGATGTGATTAATCTATCCCTTTTACAGGGATATGTACCAAAGGCTTTTAAGGTTGCTGTAATTAAACCTTTACTTAAGAAACCATCTCTTGACCCAGATGACGTAGCCAATTATAGACCTATATCCAATCTTCCTTTCTTATCTAAAAAGTCTTTAGAAAGTAGTTGCCAAACAAGTGTCTGACCACTTACACCGTAATGAACTTTTTGAAGAGTTTCAGTCTGGCTTTAGAGCTCATCATAGCACTGAAACAGCTCTGGTGAAAGTCACTAATGATATTCTCATGGCCTCAGATAATGGACTTGTATCTGTACCTGTCCTGTCCTTTTTAAAGATCTGAATCAATGATATGCCAGAAACCTGCAATCAGTGCACCCCTACTACTAAAACTTTCTCCACCATTCAGAAACATACATGTTAGTCGAAAGGGTGTCTCTAAATTTCCCAAAGGTGTTTGTCTCTGTGTTTTCCTGTGATGGACTGATTGTCTGTTTGGATGAAACTCAGTGCACAACACATTTTACTGTATATGGAAAGTCTTTTCATTTAATCTCTAGTTTTAGTCTTTTATTTCCTCCTCAGCCATTTTACATAGGGGGCATGAGCCTTGAATCCCTGAATGTCAGAGCTATTACCTGCTTCATCTTGGCCAGTTCTCTTCGTGTGTTTTCATCGTTACGCAGATCTTTCTTATTCCCCACCAGGATGATTGGAACATTGGGACAGAAGTGCTTCACCTCAGGAGTCCACTTTTCAGAAATATTCTCTGTTCCAAGGGAAAAGGAAATAAAAGGCTGAGAAAATTAAGAGAGGAAGTGAATGAGCTATTAGACCAACAAGCAGATCAGTCTAGATATAAGGTAGGTATTGCTCAGTAAACTGTTTGGTTTAAAATGTTTTCAGTTGCACCAACTCCAGTCTATACTGTGAACTTTCAATGTACTTAATGAGCAATAACTAAATGAATATGAATGAATTAAGGCTTCGGCATATTGGTAATTCCAAAAAAAGAGAAAAATAATCCAATGGACTCTGTTTCCAAGTTTGAAGACGTTTCGCTTCCCATCCAGGAAGCTTTTTCATTTCATAATGTCATGAATAGCGTTGAGCATGACGTTATAAAATAGCCCAACAAAGCCTTGATTTTGTTGGTAATATTGGTAATATTTCTGTCACTCATAAACTGTCCAACCAAATTACAATAACAGAATAAAATAGAAAGAATAAATAAGACTGTAGTACAATTTGTTAAATTATTTACCCATATATTAAGAGATAACACAAAAAACAACGGGAAATTATATTAGTTCCATTACTGAGTTTTTGTGTTTAAGATCCTGGTGAACCGTGCTAACTAAAGCGTTAACTTCAGACAGGTTTTGAGGTGCTGGTGAAGAAAATTTAACCTAGTATTTTGTTAACCGTTTCTTTATTTTTTTTATTTTTTTAGCAATATTGCAGATGTTAAGACATCTGATTTATCTTTAATTAAACAAAGTCACTGTTTGGCAATAGGAAAATTTCACAACCCTTGTGCAGTACCCTCTCTGGTCTGCAGGAGTAAGAGAGGCATAGAGTTTCTCTGTGGGGAGACTGGTTACCTATTTAGGATGTACTACGCCACTTGCTCAATCTGTGCTGAATATGGGTTCTAGCAACAATAAATTAGTTATAGCCAACAAATGGTGGGATGGGATCAACTGTTTATAAACAAAACAAGCTTTCAAATGTTCTCACCTAAACTATCGGGGCTGTCGATAGAATAGCACATAAGGATGACGTCTGTGTCGGGGTAAGAGAGAGGTCTCAGTCTGTCATAGTCCTCTTGGCCTGCAGTATCCCACAATGCAAGCTCCACCTGGAGAAAGAAGACACATATCTAATAATCACATTTATTATAATTAATCCACAGTTCTTTCTTCCTGTTTATCAAAATTTCCAAAAAATACTTTGCTACTAAAACATACATCTACTGTAGCATGGGCATCCAGAGCAGAAAAAGTCTATCCAGCTGGAGATAAACAATATTTGGGCAATATTTTTCACAATGCCCTTTATTGCATTCAGTAGAACTAGGTATATCTATAAAATTTCAATAACTAGCTGCTGTAAGAATTTTTCTTAAAAAAAAAAAAAGTTTTGCATTCTTATTTGATTGTTTCTAACCTGTTTCCACTGACTCTGTGATTCCCACATTTGACCTGCTCCTTTCCAGACTGAAACAGCAGTCATGAGCCACTGTGTTATCACAGTCACAATGTGTGACTTTTTGTGTTGTGTGTAGAGACATATGTTTGATATTCAAAGCTACATTCATTGCAACTTTAAGGAATGGTCTACACAGTACACCAGGCGTGTCCAAAGTTGGTCCTAGGGGGCAGTTGTCCTACAGGTTTTCCATGTTTCTCAGCTTTAGCACAGCTGGTTTTAAATATTTCAGGCAGCAGTCTAGTTGTAAAAAAAAGAAGTCGGATTTATTTTTTCTTTCCAAAGCATGCATAGCCTTATAGTCTCCTAGAGCACTATGCATGGTATGGTTGTTACATATCAGGTACGCCGGTCATTGACCTTGACCAAGCCACCTTACAGTAGAACTGCAGTCAGTCCCTGGACCGGCATGGCTATCACTGCCCCTACATAGTTAGGGACAAATGCAGAGGACAAATTTCCCACTGGGATCAGCTTCATCGTCATGGTAAGTCTTTGATTTAGTTTATTTTGCTCAGGTTAATCATAAGCCCACAGCCCACCAAATGTTGAAAGGACAATATTAATGCCATTTCTGTTAATATATAGTAGAAATTTTACACATTCAGTAATAAAATGTCACAAGGGATGCGTGGAGTAAAAAAAGTGAGCACTGAGAGTTGATATCCAAGGAATCCATTTTTTTTTCTGAAATCAAATCTTTTTGGCGGGGGCCTACATAGACTGATTAAAATGCGACTGCTGTAAGGCTTCAGTCTGAACAGTTACGGACGTCATTGTGACGCACAGTCACAGTCGTAGTTTAAAAGTTCCCCTTTGGGCCTTAAGTCAGCCGAATGGTCACTGGTTTCCAGGGAAGTTTAACCCAACAAAAAAAAAACAGCCAGTCAACAATCAGTCAAGGACCCTTCATGGAAACCCGTGTACTTTTAACTACTAACATTTTACAATAGCATTATTATTACATAATTCAACAAATTACACTGTAAGCTGTTAAAGCCACTAAATATTCTACACATGCTATAAAAGAATAAAAATGACTGTAAATTTTAGGAACATCAACAACGTTTTTTTATGCTTATGTGGTCTTTTTTTTTTTAGATAGAAGACAAACTTCAAGCAAGTTCTCTTAACTTACACTCTTCTCTTATGGTTAGGTTGTGTTATTGTCATTAATCAAACATTCTAACTATTATAAATGATTTTATTTTGGGTTGTTTTGTGTTAAAACTTAGTCTGACTGGTTTGGACAGTTTGTAATCTAATTTGCTCTTAACCATTCTTGAATTTGTTTGCCCTTTTCTTTTGTTTTAATTGGGTTAAGCTGTATTGTGTTTTGGATCTGATTAACCATCTTTTGTAATAAATCATTTTACATTCCCCTTTTTTGATCTGGACACATTTTTAAGTTACCTCCCCAGAACCCCTAGACATTGGCTGTGTAACAAAGTCTAATAAATGTTTTAAATTTAAGAACATTTACCAAAGCCAAGAGCTTTATAAACAAAGAGCTAAACACGAACAGCCGTACTGTTATTTAACTAAGCTAACTCACTTTTCAAGTTCTAAAGGTGGAGCTTTTGAGTAAAATCTGATGTTCCCACAGTAAGCACTAGAATCAGTCATAAGTCCTAAAATAGAGGTTTGCAGAGGCAGAGGGTGGGAGGTGGCCCAACACTGTTGAGACAGCATGAGCAAACAGATCATTATGTTCCCACTGGAGAAGGTGTGAGCTGCAGACTTTAAGTAAAAGAGCGAGGGGGAAAATAGCCATAGATTCAAAACAGTTTTTTTAAACAAATTTATAAGTTGAACAAAAACGTAATACAATAGCATTTCTTAGATATAGTTGAACCGGAACTTCTTTCAGGGGATTCAGGGGTACTTAATTATCTCTCTCCAAAAAGAGTTTCATTACATATTTATTTTACAGAAAACAACCATAGACCGCTCCCTGCGTGCTAAATCAACCAGCACGAAGACAGGAAATAAAGAACTTATCGGACAGGAGCAGCAGTAGAGTTCTGGGAGAGGGAGGGGGATTGCCAGGAGACATCCTTGTTCCCGTCTGAACAGGAAACCAGGAAGTAAAGTAATTTCCTGTTTTGCCAAGCGGTGATTCTGCACCAATGGTCAGATTGAGAGAACAGAACCCCTAAACATAAGTTATCATCTTTAGCTCTGACGGCAGAGCTCTTCAAGAAAAAAACAAAAACAAATGTAAGGTGTCACAACTCTCCATCTGAAGAGAGGATTATGCCACAAAGGTTTTGACATTCATATCTGAAGCTTTTACAATATTTAGAAAAAGAAAAAAAATTGAGCACATCAGCTCACAGCTGAGGTAAATAAACAAGGAAGCCAAAGACCATTTTATTCCCAAAATTTCCAAGACCACAAGTAATTAAAAGTAATTACTGAATGAAAACCTCCCATCTACAGCTAGTAGATGCAGACAAGTTCTCCACAATCTGCCAATCAGTTTTATTTCTCTCTCTGTGAAAGATGACTATGGGGTGATAACCAGTGCAACAAACCTTTAAAGTTAATCATAAATTTTTCAACAGAAACCAGCAGGTTTACTTAAAAAAATATACATTATTTTGATATCTATGGTCTGTTGACTGTGTTTAATTATGTAATCAACAACTCCTTATTTGGGGGCTGAAGTGGCCTGAGTAAAACATAATTTTATCTTTGGGACACAGTTAGAGTTGAACTTAAAGTAGGTTTTTCTTATATTAAATGGCATAAATGACATTTCTCTTGTTAATTAGCACATCAGCTGCAACCTCTTTTTGGTAACGATTAAGCTACCAGACATTTATTCCCCTAAAACATTTATATGCTCTCTATTATTAATGATATTGTATATCATTGTACTTCGTACAATTCAATGCTATTGCATATGATTAATAATTATAATAAGAGAAGTTGAAGTTTTCAGTGGTAAAAGCTGTATTGAAAAAAACTTCAAATTTAGGATTTTTAAGTATTTCACTTGATATATCTTTGCTGCTCATATAAACATAATACTAATTAATGAAATAGATGTTGGATTTATTCCTGTGAAGTTAACATTAATGTATATCAATTTATATGGTAAACATATAACATTTATGACACAAATACAGTGGAAAAACTCTACTGACTTGGAAAAAAATGACTTCTACAATGGAAAAAAATCTAATTCTAGATACGTCATTTTTTCTTAAAATAAGTCAATTTGTTCTTGAGTTGAGGAGACATTTTGCCATTGGAACCCCAAAATTTAGATTTAAAATAAGGAAACACAATTGCATTGTCTTATTTCAAGTGCATATTATCTAATTATCTTATTTTAAGAGTAGAAATACTCATTCCATTTGCAAATATCTCATTTACCTACTCAAATTACAGGTAAATACACTTAATTTCAGATAGTTTTACTTATTTCTAGATCGTTTTTCTAGTGTAAAAACCTTCTTTAGTGTCAACAGTACCAACCTGCTTTCCATCAATTTCGATATCTGCAATGTAGTTCTCAAATACTGTAGGGACATAAACCTCAGGAAACTGGTCCTTACTAAAAACTATAAGAAGACATGTTTTCCCACAAGCTCCATCTCCAACAATCACCAGCTTCTTCCGAATCCCTGACATTTCTGCTGAGAGAAGAGAGACAAGAGCTTAAATGAAAATTCAACAAATGTCTTATTTTCATTTCTACCTCTGTGAACATTTTTGTTTAGTTGTGGATTCCATATTTAAAATAATTCTTTAGAGATGTATGATGCATAAAGAGTAGAGTATTTATCATGCTGAACAAAAAGCATCCAGTTTGCCACCTGCGCTACATTTCACTATCTGTTTTGCATGTGGTCAAAAGCAGCTTTTATCACCGAATGCAAAATCTGAATATATAAACAAGAGAGGACACAAAAGATGGGAGATGGAAATATCCTCTCGCACCTTTTTTTATGCTGTTTGCTCATATTAAAGATACATGACAATAAGAAAGGTGTTCAGGAAATGAATGCAGCAGCTGGTGTCTATAAAGCTCACTCAACACAACTTAATATTTGATCAGCCCAACTTTCTACAGAGATACAATAACAGACCACATCTCTATGGTTAATTACTAGAAATGAAAAACAATAAAGCTGCAAAGACCCCATTGTGTTGCTAAAATGATAATAAGACTATATGGGACAAAACAAACATTTACAAGCGAGTTCCTCTACCAAGAACACGCAGGATAAATTGGATGAATGCTATTAACATAAAGTTTTACACCTATATTATGGTGAGTAAATATGAACAAAATGACACAATAAACATTGTTCTGTAGCAGCAGAAAACAGAGTTGGTTTTGATGGTGTTACTGTTAGATGAGCTGAAGGCCTACTGCCAGCTGTGCAAACATACACTAAATATATTCACAGCTACAAATATGAAGCTGATAATAAATATGGTTACTAGCGTCAGACAACTTTTAAAAAAAGTTGTTTAGTAAATATTAATAATATCATATTTTGAAGTGAAGTAATATTATATTTTAAAGGGATTTTTGCCTGTTTTGTTTTAAATGTAGAGCATTCACACTTAACAGTAGAAATACGAGAAACATTGTTTTTTTTAACCTTTCTGACATTAAATCCGACTTAAATGTTTCCTGTTTTAGATCAGATAGGATGAACTTTCTGATTTTACCATTTTCAAATCAACAAGATATTTGTTTCTGACAGTTTTTTAACAACTGTCTACCAATTCAACAGTTTACATACATTTTCGTTTATTTTCAGAACTACATTATGAACTTTATGATTTGTGTCAAACATTCAAAATTCTCCCAATAGATGCAGTCAATTCAACACATTCCTTCAAACAGAACCGATACAACAAAGTCAGGTTTGTTAAAGGACACCTCTGACACACAGAACCTCCTCCTACCTGAATAGTTTGATTGCCCCACACAGTGTTTAGATTCTAATATAAATAAGTAGATCATCTTTGTACATCAGGCATCTTGAAATTATGGACAACTATGAATCTGACTTAAGGAAGAAATTTAATTAATTTCATTCTATGTAAAAATTTGTTTAATAGAAATAAAAAAGTATTCATTCACTTTCTAAATTTAAAATATCTCCCATTAAACCAGCATATAGTAATTAAAGTAACTATGGCTTTTTAAACTGACCTAAAAGCTGGCATTGCCATCAAGTTTATTGTAACTGGTGGCAATGCTGACGGCTCTATGTGTTTGTTTGAATAAACTCATTGTCTTATCCTGCCTCAATATCTAAACCTTTATTTTCTCAACCAGTAATGCTGTTTTTTTTAATCTAGTTTTTTTTAGCCGCTTTTCTCCATCTTATTGTTTGCTCTACTATAGCATACATTCAAATAGAAAAGACCCAGATTTACAAACATTTTATAACAGGCCATATCACACTCATACATCCTAAACTCCCTTATGTCAACAATAACACAACAGGGAGCCTTTAAACAGCAAATATTCCTGCTGGATTATTTAATAAAAGAAGTAATGAACCCTGAAAATGTTGAATAAATAGCCTCAGTTCAAATGTAGGACTAATGGGTGCTAATGAATGCAAGAGGAAGTTCAGGTGGCTGCCGGTGATAACTGATGGTGTGTCATCAACATCAAACATGTTCATTGTGACTCAAAGCTGTAAAACAACTGTTTTTACATCCTGCCCCGTTGTTTATATCAAACACTGACCATCTTTAAACAATGAAAGCACATAAAGTAGAAAATTTCCTCCGCTGACAGCGTGAGGCAGCAGACGTGACGTCACAGGCACTGAATGAAAGAATAGCTATTTAGGAAGATCAGACACATGCAACAAAAATAGTTTATAATGCTTTTAGTTTCTGATACTTGCTGGTGTTATGAGTAAAAATGTGCCTTGAAATAAATACTGTGGTACAATGTTTATTCCTATAACATTTCTTAAAGTTGGAACATACATAGAGGGATCTTTGGCAATCTTCTTTGAACAAACTCTTTACATTATGTGTGCTTTTATAACAGGTATCATCTCAGTAAATACGCATTTCTCAAAGACAAAGACTAGTGTCCTAAATTATATATTTTTTTTAATCTAGGACATAAGGTTTTCAGTGTTTTATTAGATAAATCAACAAAAATAAAAGTCGCATCCATGGACGAAGCTTGACCGTTTGAACTCTGTTAATTTATCTATTTTGTTATTGAAAATAAATAAATAAATGATAAATAAATATAATTTAAATAAATTTAAGGGTAGGCTTAAAACTTTCCTTTTTGATAAAGCTTATAGTTAGAGTGCCACAGTTATCCTGAGCTATCTCTATAGTTATGCTCCTATAGACTTAGACTTCCAGAGGACCTAGTGACCCCTTTTTCATAATTTTGCTGAATTCTATCTCTATTCTTCCACTCTGCAGAATCTGTTAGTTTAATCTCTAACATTATGCTCACTCTGCTTATTCTCATATCAGCTTCACCGCGTCTGTTCCTGTTTGGCTGTGACACCACCCTGGAGAGAAATATCAGCTGTGCTGCTGCTTTGTTTATAGATGTTGGAGATCGGCCTGTTTTTCCAGTGTAGTCCTGTTTCTCTGACTGTGGATGCGCTCTGTTCATCCTCAGAGCCCTTCTGCCTGGCTGTGTGTTTCCTGAACGGGGCCGCCTTTTACAGCTGCTTTTTGTATCTCTGCTTCTGTCTCCTTGAACCCCAGTCGGCCTCAGAAGATGGCCGCTCACACTGAGCCTGGTTCTGTTGGAGGTTTCTTCCTGTTAAAAGGGAGTTTTTCCTCTCCACTGTTGCTACAAGCATGCTTAGTGTGAGGGATTGCCTTCAAGTCAATGAGTCGATGCAATCAACTGGTTTTCCTTAGATAGAAAACTTTTAATCAATCTGACTGGATGATCTAGTTGAACTGTAAAGTGCCTTGAGATGACATGTGTTGTGAATTGGCGCTATATAAATAAACTGAATTCAATTGAATTATTGTTTTCAGAAGTTTGAATTCTTAATGTTTTTTGTTTTTTTCTGACAGAGACCACCATAGTTTTATTTAATATGTCTAAGAGATTCAACTTTCCATGACACCATTCCCACTGACAAGGCTCCATTTGGAGACTGGAAGAGAAGCATCACATATCTTAGATAAAATATGCTTTCTTTCAAACTCAACTTACCCAGTGATGCACCTCTTTGCTCTGGCTCTATAACAGTTAGCTTTGAAGATATTTAAAACCTCCCCCACTATCATCAGAAAGCTATGTTCAAGCCTAGAACATAAGTGCTCCTCCAGAAGAACGATCAATGTGTCTCTGTGTCATATCATTTTTATACCAAGGAGCCAAGCAGTAAAGCATATATAGTCTCACAAATTAAAAATAACAAGAATAAATGTATAGAATTCACAGATTTAACTTATAAAGCCAATTTACCAAAGGTGATTTAAAAAAATAAAATCTATATATAGGCATCTTTCCACCTGGTGTGACTCTACGCTGCAGATCAGCTTCTCCCAGCAGTATTAGACTTTAAGAATATTCAAGAAGTCATATTTGCTTGTAGAGGGGAGTTTATGACAGCCGCTTAAAAAAAGAACAGCAACAATAATAATAACAATAAAGAAAACAGAGGACTAGTATCAAGATCTGCTTATATCCAAATTCAGGTATCATGGAAGTGAAATAATACGGATTGTTGAATCCAACACACACAAGGATACTACAGAGGAACAGCTGATTTACAGGTTAGTGTAAGATCCAAAACCAGACCAGAACCCAATAAAAGTATCAAGTTATTAGAACATACTGTTCCTAAGTAACAAAGACAACAGAGTTTAAAGAAGTAACTCTTAGACACAGACAGATATTTTTAAAGCCTTATCCAAGCATAGTTTTCCAATGCATGGGGAAGAAAAAGCATCAATTCTTCCAGCGAAACCTTTGGTGACACCATGATAATGGGGCGTCTCCTTATGGTTTGCCCAACTTTGGACCACCAGAAGCTTTGAAACCACATGAGTCAAATGGGTACAGATAATGACACCAACTTATTAGATGAGCTGTGTCCCCCCCCACATTCCTTTAAGAAACAACAATAATGTCTAAAATACGCAAGCAGGTTAAGAAAAGGCTTGTTGGTCCTGTGGACTATCAAAAATACCACATTGTATAACATAAATAGATTAAAGTTAAACTTTATCTAGAAATAAATACATTTAATTGACAAATAGATAAAGGTATCCCTAATTAGCCCTGACAAAAGTTCATGAAATATACCATTATTCATATGTAATATTTCCTACTAAAACCAAAACCCATTGTATATGTTTGAATCAAACCTATACTGTACAATCAGTTCCATAATCATTAACTATATTATGGTTCCAACAGCCATACACTAATTTAAACTATGAATATACCTCCTCATACATAACCATTGCATCTGATTGGTCAAAATGCACTAAAACTACACTTCAGATTGATGCTAATGGAAACCAGTGTGATGGAGAGGCAACCTGTCTGGGATTTAACCCATATATTGTTCAGAGATGGTTGGACATCAGCAGATTCTGAGAACCTATGAAAGATCCTTCATTAATGCTGAATCAACAGTGGATTATATGACACTCTTTGAGGTTTAAGGGTCTTCTATACATCAGACTAATCTTTCTTATTCCAAAGATTCTCTGTTGGATATAAGACCAGACGCACGCTAAAAAAATTCTAAAACAATAAAAACACAAAAATGTATGTCAATGATTGGTATAAATAACTTTGAAGTTAGCATACTGTATGAGTTTCCTCCATTTAAGGACTTCTTTGAGTTAGAAAATCTGTCTCCTTCCTGACATGGCTGTTTTATCTAGAAATTGCATGTGAGAATCTTTTGTTTTCCATTTTTCTTTTCACTTCAAGACTGCAGCTCTGCCTCTGATACAAAACACTAGAGCTTCAGATAGCAATAACAGCAGAAATAACCTATTTCCCAGGTTCTTAAACATCACTATAAAATCAATGAGCTGTTCAGTTGTTTAGTCATCATAGCTAAATTTGTTAAGCTCCTTGTAGCTAAAAGAAACAAATAGAATTTGACTTAGAACCTTAGAAAGTCCAAAATGAACCACATTTAGCAAGGAACAGTAAATTGTGATTTTTTTTTTTAAGACTTTAAGTTTATAAAACTTGTCTAAATCCGATGTGTAGCTGCAGGCGCAAAAATAAATCTTGACAGGTCTTACGCATCAAACTGGATGGAAGAGCTTTTCAGAGACAACAGTAGTAGGAAACCTCATGACAGATTTAATCAACTTTCACATTCTGTTGATGTGTTCTAAAGCTTGAAAGTTTATAACTGAGTCGTGCCTTTAAAGACAAGAAATAGAAACAGGCCCAAAACAAACCAAAATAATCGAAGGACATATTACATTTAAATAGATGCTAAAAAAAATAAAAAAAAGAGGATGAAATCAGATCTGGAAGATTTATGTTTCTAAAAGGAGTTTTGAAGCTTATTGCAGAAAGATAAAGATGCTGATGTCTCTATAAAGCTGAAGTCAGCTTATGCATGGCATATTTTGACCTATTATTTGAGAAAACGGGCAATAGCACAACTGTTTAGGTAGATAAATGTCTAGTTAGGAATTCCTAGCACCTACATTTAATCTTAATCCGATCTATCTTTAAACAAATAATGATATAAAATAATGTGTGATTTGCTAATTATTTATACACTTTAAAAGAATAATTATTGTTGCCATGTTTTCTTACCAAGAGTTATATAGGAAAACTAATAAACCTGTTAACTGCAATAAAGCCAAGAACAATATTCTTCTATAAAAGTGTGCTTGCTGCCGATGATGCTGACAAAGCAATTGTTATCTTAAAGGAGAGAAATCCAGACTAGTTTTCCCTGTATAGTTTAGTTTAGTTTAATATTTACCATGATGATATAATGATATGATCATTAATTTCAAAGCCTTTTTCCATGTCTCAGCAACAAAAACCCAAAACATTGGAAATGAAAATACAAAAGATTGCAGTGTTCATCTAACACAGTGACTGAGCTTTAAAGATTACAGCCACAACAGTCGCACAACATTCCCAATGAATGACAACCTGCTCATGTTTATGGCTGCTTTCAGTAGCTGTAAATGTACAAATCATTTAAAGAAAGACAGAGCTGCTTTTAAAGCCAAATGAGAGGGGCTCGCTGGTTGTTCTGCTAACGGCATCTAGAACTGTGGCGGATCAAGGAAGTTTTAAATGGAGAAAGGAGACAGAAAAAGGCCTTGGCAGGGTGCAAAAGATGGAACTCCTCATGCAAATGAAGTAAACAAAGTATTTTAAAATGATTTATAGTGCAATTTTCTATTCTAAGACACAAATGTAACTTTTAGGTAAAGGCTCACTTAGGAAAATCTATAATCCACAAAATAAATAAAAAATACAGAAGACAAATTTTGAGAAAAAACCCAAAAATCTGATTAAAATACAGGGTTGATTTCAGCATCACTTAAAAGAAAAACATGTATGGGCAGCAAAAAGTCTGAAGAGATCCAGATCTTAAGACTTAAGACTTAAGCAAGGATAGCTGGATTATTCAAACCATCATCTGCATTGGTTTAGTGCAGGGGAAACTTTTTAAAGGTTTTACATCTACAATCATATATTATTTGTAAATCCATGATTAAATAATTAATCCATCACCAAATTTTCCCTAAACTTTTAGGTAACATTAATAAAAAAAATTGGTTCCATCAAGTTGTGCCGTTAGTTCAATTTGATAAGTAAAAAAAAAAAGAAAAATGCAGTATGTTCACTTTCATTAAAGTTTAGATTTTAATCTCTAAAATTATTGCAGTATTAGTCATTGAGCTAGGTTCAGTTATCATCTCCTGAAAATGTCTGCAGAAAGTTTAGATATTTAATTTAATCAACCAACTGAATAGATTTAATCTCCAAATCTATCATTGTCAGGGATCAGAAGGATACTTGCTTTCATATAAACATGAGGATATAAGATGTATTGCTAGAAATACTGGATTTAAAGTTTATATTTATGAACAAGAAATTCCAGGAAAGATCATCTTGAGTATGCCAACTATAAAACATGCCATAAGAACAACCCACTAAGTAAAAATGGAGGTAAAATTACAATAAATTCACCAATAATTTGTCTGTAAATTTTCCTCATTCAGACCTCCTCATCTGGCATAGTTTAGCTTCACTTCATTATTACTTGAAAAAAAAAAAAAAAAACAGTCCAAGAATAATCTTATCTCCAATAATAAAATACACAGAATAAACAGTTAATCATAATAAAAAGACAGAATCCCTCCTGCTACAAACACTTTTCATCTACTAATGAACTCATTTATAAACTAATTAACAAACTGAATAGAAATCAGAGCAGCTCCTATTAGAGTATTAAATAAAGATCAACTTAAGGACAAACTACCTTCTTTTTCTAAGGCAAAACTACTTCAAAAACAGTAAATTAATTAAGTGATATCTATTTACGGTACTTATAGTTACCTGCAACAGCTGGTTAAATGTAAAAAAACAAATAGTCCACTTTTCCACAGTGTTTATGATCCTGGTACAAATAGAGACTCTTCTTCAATAGAGCGTCTGGTTCCCCAGTGAACTTTGCAGACTGAATGCTGAGTCCCACAGCAGAGAGAAGAAATCCTCTCACGGAATCCAGCAAAACGCAAAGTTAAACAAAATAACAGTCTTTTATACATTTCAAAATAAAAGCGCGACGCTTTTCCGTCTTCAAATACAAAGGAGGTAGTATTATTTTTAACATTTTCAATAAAAGACCCACTTATGAGCTCAATTACTAAAATTTAAACTATGTGGGATAAAAACAAGCCTTCTTTGAATTTGTTTCTTTATGAATCTTTGAAAAGGTCTCCTCATTTATTTTTAAACAAGAATAATCTACATCACTTAATATCAACATTTAGATTCATTGAAAAATAGGTCTCTTCAGACTCAAGAAGATTATAGCAACCAGCAGACTTAAAATAAATTATAGGATAGAAAAAAAATAAATAAATAAAACTCTAATATTCAGTCTGTGTTTTTTTTATATTTTATTTCCACATGTGTAGCTTAATGTTTCCCTGTTTAAAATGATTCTGAGTCTGTTTCAAAATCAAACCAAAAAATTAACTCAGACTCTTTATATATTCATGCATCTCTCATAAATATTCTTAATTAGAGGCTAAATTGCTTCAAAATGTTTGTGTCACGTAACTGGAATATATCTCAGCAAACTAAGATCACACAAAGTGCCAGCCCAGCAGCTTCAGTCGTAGGCCTCTAGAAATGTAGATTTCTTCGAACAAAAATGATTTAGTATTGCAAGAACTGTGGCTTATGCTGCTGATAGACAATAATATATTACTGTGTCATCATAGCCAAAATACTGACGTGTCCATAACATTGGGGGGTTTCCTTCAGCTCAACTATTTGGCCCCAAAAATTCTGAAATGAGAATGTAAAATCAATTAGACTCCATGAAACTAAAACTACAAACAATGCATGAAATCTTTTCTCATGGTGGATTCAGTCCGACATCTTAGCAACCACATTAAAGCAACTCAATCAGTCATATTTAATTAAAAAAAAATCTATTTTATTTATCCAAAGTGAAATTCAATGTTTCTGTAAATATTTTTTTAACAAGCTGTTGTAGATGTTATTAGCTAAAAAAATACAAAAACCAGGGAATCCAAAATTTAGTTTTCATGTTAGCCAGATTTGGAACCGACTGAGACCATTAGTTTCTTTACTTCCAGACAGAATAAATAATGTTCTTTTCTTACAGTTTTCCCAAGAAGGTCAAAATGTAGCTAATACCGTAATATCTAAATATGGTGTCTTAGCCATTTACCTGTTTGCAATGTGACTGCTTCTTTCCTTTTCCACAGTTATTGTTTTAATGTAATACTTTTGTGTTTGTGCAACAGTGTTTGATGTTGCTCCTTTATTTTTAATGTCAAACATGAAAAATATCTTCTATATGAACCACAGCATGCTGTAGAATACAATTTGACATATTTGCTTATGGTAAATCTTTCCCTATTTATATAATAATAATAATAATAATAATAATAATAAAAATAATAATAATAACAATAATAATAATAATAAATAATAATAATAATAATAATAATAATAATAATAATAATAATAATAATAATAATAATAATAATAATAATAATAATAATAATAATAATAATAATAATAATAATGCACACTGAAATTTTATTTTGAAATTCTAATAATCTATATCCTGTTTTGATGCAACCTTATGGTAAATTGACGTGTCTGCTTCAGTCAGCAAGATATCTCCTCCCTTTTCACGTGAAAGATGACACAATGTTCCGGCAAGAATCAAACCTCTCAACTTTTCTGCAAATTGTCAAATATATTCTAATGCCTTTTCCTGTAACACCTTTGTCTAATCAGCTTAGCAAAATCAAAACAGTGCAACTTATTTACGTATATTTCATGAACTAAGTTGCATTATTCCCACACATCACGAAAATCATTAGAAAATAAACCTTTTTAATCTAATTTTGCTTTATTTTAAGCAGAGTTCAAACAGAATAAAGCCTAAATAAACATAAAATAAATTGATTAAAAATCGTCGGAGCTATAAACATAATAAAGGTGTATTAAAGGTGTCTTTGGAATATCTTTTTTTCCCCCCAGTTAGTTAAAACATTGTTTTAACCACAAAACGAAACCTAAATTTTAGTTAAGCCCCACATCATTCAAAAGTGAAGACACCATGTAAGAGCTCATAAATTCTTCACTAAAATCCTTGGTGAGCTTTTATGAATATTTATGAATATATCTTTTATGAATATATTATTATATTTATTAAGTTGAGTAGAGTAGCCCAGAATTGTACTTAAATAAGAACAGCACTACTTTATTGAATTATTTAGTAAGCAAAAGTAAAAAGGTAGCAATCCAAGAAATTACCCAAGAATAACAAATTGGCGAAAAGGCTACTCAAGTACTAAGTAATCTATCTACTAATTATAATTATAACATCTGATTTGATAATTTAAAGATAATATAAAGTAACACAACACATTCCATCCCCTTAGGCAGCAGAGGGCTGCCATTGTGCGGCGCCCAGGGAGCAGTGTGGGGTTAAGGGTCTTTGCTTAGGGAGCCAGAGTGGCAGTCTGTGGGAGTGGGGCTCGAACTCAAAACCTCAGGATTCCATAGTCTATGTCCTAACCACTAGGCCACCACTCCCCCTATATGCAGATTACGGTGTTTTAAAGGAGGACATATACAGTAATAAAAAATAAACATGAAGTGACATGATATTTACACAATAACAATTGATTTACTAGATGTAACAGAAAGGATTGTGATGAAAATTGCTTGAAATGTTTTTTTTTTTTTATGTACCTATCATTTAAGTTAATGTATCTCTGTTTATTATGTAACTTTACTGCATCTTGGCCAGGACTCCCTTGCAAAAAAAGGATTTTGATCTCAATGGGATTTTTTTCCCTAATGAAATAAAGGTTAAATACAAATAAAATAAAAAATTATCAGGTTTACAAGTGGTTCCTAGAATTTCTAAAAGTAGAACTGGTGGCAGATATTTTAGTTATCAGGCTCCTGCCCTGTGGAACCAACTACCAGTTTTAGTTGTGAAGTAGACACTCTGTCTACTTTTAAGGCCAGGCTTAAAATTTTCTTTTTTGATAAAACTTATACTTAGAGTGGCTCAGGTTATTATGAGCTATAATTATGCTGCTATAGGCTTAGGCTGCCGAAGACATAGGGACCACTTTTCAGCATACTGCTTCATTCTCCTTCAGTTCTCCAATCCTACAGTATTTCTTAGGTAAACCTCTAACTTTGTGTACACTCTGTCTAGTGCTCTGTTTGGCTGTGACACCATCCTGGAAGGAGCCATAAGCTGGGGTGTTGACATCAACACCTCCAATTATACAGGTGCTGGTCATAAAATTAGAATATCATGAAAAAGTAGATTGATTTCAGTAATTCCATTTAAAAAGTGAAACTTGTATATTATATTCATACATTACATACAAACTCATATATTTCAGACGTTTATTTTGTTTAATTTTGATGATTACAAATGACAACAAATGAAAATCTCAAATTCATCATATCAGAAAATTAGAATATTACTGAAGACCAATAAAAACAAAGGATTTATAGAAATGTTGGCCAACTGAAAAGTATGAACATGAAAAGTATGAGCATGTACAGCACTCAGTATTTAGTTGGGCCTCCTTTGGCCTGTATTACTGCAGCAATGCGGCGTGGCATGGAGTCGATCAGTCTGTGGCACTGCTCAGGTGTTATGATAGCCCAGGTTGCTCTAATAGTGGCTTTTAGCTCTTCTGAATTGTTGGGTCTGGTGTATTGCATCTTCTTCTTCACAATACCCCATAGATTTTCTATGGGGTTAAGGTCAGGAGAGTTTGCTGGCCAATTAAGAACAGGGATACCATGGTCCTTCAACCAGGTACTGGTAGCTTTGGCACTGTGTGCAGGTGCCAAGTCCTGTTGGAAAATGAAATCTGCATCTCCAAAAAGTTGGTCAGCTGCAGGAAGCATGAAGTGCTCTAAAACTTCCTGGTATGTGGCTGCGTTGACCCTGGACCTCAGAAAACACAATGGACCAACACCAGCAGATGACATGGCACCCCAAACCATCACTGACTGTGGAAACTTTACACTGGACTTCAAGCAACGTGGATGAAGTGCCTCTCTTCTTTTCCTCCAGACTCTGGGACCTTGATTTCCAAAGGAAATGCAAAATTTACTTTCATCAGAGAACATGACTTTGGACCACTCACCAGCAGTCCAGTCCTGTTTCTCTTTAGCCCAGGCAAGACGCTTCTGACGCTGTCTGTGGTTCAAGAGTGGCTTGACACAAGGAATGCGACAGCAGAAACCCATGTCTTTCATACGTCTGTGTGTGGTGGTTCTTGAAGCACTCACTCCAGCTGCAGTCCACTCTTTGTGAATCTCCCCCACATTTTTGAAGGGGTTTTGTTTCACAATCCTCTCCAGGGTGCGGTTATCTCTCTTGCTTGTACACTTTTTTCGACCACATCTTTTCCTTCCCTTCGCCTCTCTATTAATGTGCTTGGACACTGAGCTCTGTGAACAGCCAGCCTCTTTAGCGATGACCTTTTGTGTCTTGCCCTCCTTGTGCAAGGTGTCGATGGTCGTCTTTTGGACAACTGTCAAGTCAGCAGTCTTCCCCATGATTGTGTAGCCTATAGAACTAGACTGAAAGACCATTTAAAGGCTTTTGCAGGTGGTTTGAGTTAATTAGCTGATTAGAGTGTGGCACCAGGGGCCATCAATTTTGAACCTTTTCACAATATTCTAATTTTTTGATATGATGAATTTGAGATTTTCATTTGTTGTCATTTGTAATCATCAAAATTAAACAAAATAAACATCTGAAATATATGAGTTTGTATGTAATGTATGAATATAATATACAAGTTTCACTTTTTAAATGGAATTACTGAAATCAATCTACTTTTTCATGATATTCTAATTTTATGACCAGCACCTGTAGATGACAGGGTTGGACCTGTTTTGCAGTGTCCTGTTTCTCTGAGACATAGCTATAGGCTCAGCTTTTACTGCAAATGTGCTCTCTTCAATCTTTTTTTGGTAAGCACTGTTGGGGCCATAATCTGAAAGTGAAAAGAACATTATTTCACCACAAACTAACCATGGCCACGTGGCCCTTGCAACATTTCTGGCAAGGCAGTGAAAATAATTATCAGAAGAGTTGTTCAAAAGACAAATATTACTTGTGGAGAGCCTCAGAAAGACCTGGAATCAGCCAGTGCAATTGTTTCAAAGAAAACAAGAAGTAATGCAACCGTCGTGGACTGTATGCACGCTCACTAGGCAAGACTCCATTGCTGAAGAAAATGCTTTTTCTTTTTCTTCTTTTTCATGCATTTACTACATAACATTTAGACAGGCCTGTGAAATACGAGGAGAATATAGTCTGGTCAGATGAGACCAAAATGTAACTCTTTGGATGCCATTATATACATCATCTTTGGAGGTCAAATGGCATTACACATCACCACAAAAGCACCATAGCAACAGTGAAGTTCGGAGGGGGGAACATTGTGTGGTGTGGGGCTGTTTTTTCAGCATATTACCATATGCTGGCAAAGTTCAAATAATTGAAAGATGAATGGACAAATGTACAGAGGCATTCTTGATAAATATCTGCTGAAAATCTACTAAGATGGTGAAGATGAAACGCGGGTGGACATTTCAGCAAGACAATGACATCGCCAAGGAAACTCTCAATTGGTTTTAGAGAAAGAAAATAAAGCTGCTAGAATGGTCCAGCCAATTACCTGACTGGAATGCAATAGAAAATGTATGGAAAGAACTAAAGATCAGAGTTCATAGAAGGAGCCCACGAAACCCTCAAGATTTGAAGACTGTTTGCGAGGAAAGAATGGGCCAAAATCACACCTGAGCAATGCATGCAACTAAGTTCTCCATACAGGAGGCGCCTTGAAGCTGTCATTGCCAACTAAGGCTTTTGAACAGAGAAGTAAATAGATTTTAGTAAGTTTGTTCAATACTTTTTCCTTGTGCTATTTCACTTTTTTCACTTAAATTAATTTCTGGACATATAAGGTTTGATTTCTTTCTAAGTGTGGACTGCATGTGTTGTTGACATCATGCGAAAATGTCATGTTGCTATGTTCAATTCTTGTTTGCCCCGCTGTATCATTGCCCCTTATCTCTCCACCCAATTCCAAAGAGCCCTCCATGCAAATGTCACACAGCGATGTTTTGCTTATGTTTTACTTTAGTGTATTGCCTGTAGACAACATGAGGTAGCACCTCTACTGATATATATATTTAGCATGACAGGTGATCCAGATGTGTCAGATGTGCAAAAATACAAAATGGTCTAGCAAAAAAGAACAGTTCTATGTTGGATCATAGGACAGCAATAAGGAAGTTTAAACCAAATGGGAAAAAAAAAAAAATTTTATTCTTTCAAACTGAATCAAATTGTCCTTTTATCATACCTTTTGGTACCTCTGATTCTTGAACACACCAACAGTTATGGATAGGAAATAAAAATACAATTCGTTTACAAGCAAAAGAAATTTCAAAAAATATATATGTAAAATCTAAGTTCGACATGACATAACCTAAACAGTACAAAAGAGGTATGAGGTACAGATAAAGACGTACAATGTATTCTTTTTTTTTTGTGCCTCTTTTACATGATTCAAATTTAGTGCAATGGAAACTCTTCAGTCCCTTTCATGTTCTAATAAGGCATATGTGTGAAACATAACTTCTGATTATAGCAAGACATGGAGAACTTGATACTGTTTGCCCTGTCAGCTAAATAAAAAAAGAAATAAAAAAAAAGCTTACAGTTGCATAAAAACATGAACAACTTCCTTCTTATCATCACCAAACATATTTATAACCAACAATCCCATCTGTTGTAATAAAATGTAATAGGTCTTCTATGAGCACATTCAATCAAAGGATAACACTAACTAATAAGCTACTACAGAACATGTGCAACAGACTTTCAAGTGCCTCAGGTGTCGTCATTTTCATTCATTATTTTCTACTGAAATACTGCAACATATTATGGGTCCAGTGCCAAAAAGGTCCATTCGTTTGTCTTCTCTTCGTTCTTCCTTTTTTTTTTTTTTATACATATTGTTTAATTAATGATTTTTGTGAATAATTGTGTTTTTCATACTCATACTGCAGGAGCATTTCTTTGGTTGCCTCACAACTTCAGTAACAAACCCATTTATTTAATCATTTTATAACTATAAGGAGGCTTTTTCTTTTTAGATATAAGTAGTAGCATCTTGGGGATTGCAATAAAACAAAGATCTTTAAAAGATTTTGTTCCAGCCCTGGCTTTAGACATAAATAAACAAACAAACAAAAAAAATACTACAAGGATTTTGTGTATATCACAAACAGCAAATTTGGGAGAAAAAAAATGTACTTCTCTAATAATTCAATGCTTTTTGAATAATCAGAAATCAACCAAAGGAGTCAGATAGAACTGAACTATAGAAAGGTGGGTCGTAGTAATAAAGTCAATGAAGGTGCTGTTTAGACCCAAGCCTTTCCAGTGAAAGTCATCTTTTTGTCTTCCACTGCCTCGTCGTTCCAGGGTTTATTCATGAAGTTAAAAGGGACTAATAGGAAGGCTGCACTGCAATGAAGCTCATCAGGTCTCTGACTCGTGTCCTGCCAGCGGGATGACAAACACAGTGATGTCATCACCTGAGCCCAGTTTTTCATTGGGTAGCCGCCAGCCGCGCTCTTTTAGCACACCTCTGGACCTCATCAGTAGTTCCTGTGCTGCCAGTGTATATCTGGGAAACATAGAGAGTTAAAGAGCACACAGTCATTTCAAAACAGGGGTTCAGGTAAGATTTTAAAATATGGTGAAAACATTAAAAAAAAATCATGTTTTTTTAAATTTGCTAATCAAATAATCTCTTTCAACCTAAGTTGCTGTGGCCCGGCTTTGATGACAAAAAAAAAGTCCACAAAAGCTACAGATGCACCATGGACAAGTTATTTACACACTCAAAAAAATAAATAAATAAATAAATAAAATAAAAAGGTAAACTCCTTCAGTTTTCCTCCATGCTTCTCTTGTGCTGGTAAAAAAAAAAACATAAGTCCTACCATTGACAGTTTATTTATAGAAATAATTCACCCAAATTAATCATAACTAACCAGAAACAAAGGAACATAACTAAATAACCAAAAAAACATAATCTCAAAACAAATATCAAACAATAAAGTAGAATAAACTTAGCTAGATTATACACAAAAAAACTTATTTAACTAATTATTAACAAAAAACAACAGGCATCTACACTAAGATATTGATTAAATAAACATTTAAAATACAGATAATGAAAACAAGAACTTTTCTTCACTGTCTTTTTTAAACTATAGGCAACATATTTTACTCCATATGCTTAAACTCATACTAAGCAGAGTCATTTAAAATATTGTTCATAACAATAGTGTAGATGCTTAGGCTAATCAAATGAAGCTCAGCCAAATAGATGATAAAATATAGTTGGAGGCTTAAAGCAGGATTTGTCACCACCTAGTGGACAAACTTGATAAAACACATAATTGAACAGCTTTGTTTCAGATGCAATGAAAATTAGGAAAACAGCAAAAGCAAAAACTTATAATTTTTTTTATTTATTTTTTTTATGAAACAGTTCACCTCATGGGATCAGATGGATCACAGCGTGACAGGTAGGTTGAAACAGCTTCTGCCACTTCCTTGTCTGTCGTTACATCCCACAGTCCATCTGTGCCCATAACCAGGACGTCATCTGGTCCATGTTTGTTCTCATCCAGGTTATAAACCTTTACCTGGGAATAATGGAAACCAATTTTGAGGATGTTTATCATTAAATAAAGAATAGAAAGTCAATATTTATCATTTTAAAGTATCTCAGAGAAAGAATTAATTTGTTGTGCTTATTTGATATCATTTTAGTTTTGAATTTAAAGTTCACTGCTCTAAGGATATTCCAAATCTTTCTCACATGCAGCTTTAAAAACAAAACAAAAAATTTATATCTTTCAAAAAGATGCATTATCAAAATGGTCTCTTACTACAAAGGTGTCATCTGGGACGGGAGGATAGATTCAAACTAATTCCAAAGTGTAATATTTTTATGTGCAATAATACAGTATGGAAATTATTGGGGAAAATATGATGAGGTAGACTGTACGTTTTTTTCCTTCAAAAATTAAAGAAAGCACTTAACAAAGAGCTGACAGCAGCATTAAAGGATCTACAAGAATTTCCAACAGGGGCTGATAATTATCCACTCTAACCAGCTAGAGCAAAAGCCTCAAAATAAAACTATGGATCAATAAAAGAAAATAAAAGTTTAAAAACAGACTTGTCACTGTATAAGAATTTAACATAAATCTGTAAACTCATCCAAAGAGGGCAGGAAACATTAGTGGCTGTCTCAATCTGACAGAGTTAAAGAACTGCCACAAATTAGAGAAGATTAACATTACTGAGTCATGTTGACTTAATGTCCAATTAAATCAAAAGTTATTCAAAAAAAGGATGTGCATGCAACAGTTCTACATTTTACATTTCCCCTGCATAGTTATTTTTCTCATTAAATTCCACAGGATATATTTTATATTGGGGTGTAAAAAGCTTCATAATTGAGTGTATTTTCCAAGCCTCAAAAATGAAGAATATAACAACACTGTAAACATTGTTGATACTGCTGTGTCATAGGGATGCAAAGATTACCTCCATGTTTCAATGTTTAATCATCCATGTTTAATCAGCTATTGCAGTTTAACCCAAAACTTATAAATCTTATTGCAAAACAAAACATAAGAAACAACCAACATCTTTAATGTAACACCGTTTTAATGGAGACACCACGTCTTGCAGGGGTAAACACCATGTCAGCCTGCAAGTGCTAGCTCAGAATGGGGGCACAGGCTGTTTTTCTAAGAACTGCACTCTTTGGAAACAGAAATGAATCCTCTTCTAACTCTGTTTGTTTTTTTAGATTTAATATTGAAGAGTCGCTTGAATGCCGCATGTGTGCTGAAATCGCTAACATCAATGTTCTGAGTGACTTATAAAAGGCATGTGATGAAAAGATTATCTTTAAGCTAAACAAACTCAGCTCAGATGCTGATCCTATAAGCTAAGAGGCTTGAAACAGGAAATGAAAAACGATGAGAAACAAAAAGATTCTCCATTTATGTACATTTGCCGTAGAATGACATATGAGGTCTAAATAAGTAGCAAATATAAGAGATTACCACAACACAAAAACCAAAAAAACAACTGTGATCAAACTTCTTTTTTTGATTTTAGAGTGATGCAAATGTTACGAATAAAATTTATTTCCAATTTTATTGTGTTATTCAAAAGCACACAATGTTGTTTCTCTACAGGAAGTGGATTTTCTCTTGTGGGAGAGTGACAGTGGTTAGAACAGCCTGAGACTACTGGCTTTAAGTTAAGATGGGGAAATGGTTACGAAGGTAAACACACTTCCTTGTGAACATTTTTCACTGGTACATGTGACATCTCAGTAGAGTTTATTCCTATTATGGAGAAAGTTTCCATGTTACAATATTTTTATGAGTAGCAAAACATTAAACTACTGTACAGCAATAGTAGAAGCACAACCTCTTTTTGTTTTATTAACTCTAACAGAATTTAAAAAGTAGCTTTCTGTCTAGTATGAGAGGATCTGGTTAAAAGGCAACTGTAGTGTTGAGTAACTGTAAACATCTAATTTAATCAGCGAAAAAAATATGTTGTCTAAAAATACCAATGCAACATTTCCAAGCTCTTTGACCTGATACAAACCTGGTGTAAAAAAAAAAATATAAGAGACAAAGGCTATAAGTCAGCGGCATTAGCTTGAGCAATATGCGTGAAATGTTTGTAGGGAATTTTTCCTCAAAGCAACAGTAAGTCACTGAGATCTGTGTTTATATTCCCATTGAGGCTTTCCAAATGCATTTGGTGTTTAAAATACGAAATAGAGAGATTTTTTGTACTATCCTCAGCATGAACTTATCTGTAAAGATGTGTCTAAAGTTAGAATGTATAAATAAACAAAAAAAGTGCAGCCGGGGTCTGTTGATAGCGAGTTAGATGTTGTCCTGCACTGGAAAAAATTTAAATCTAGATAAGTAATTTTTTCTTAAAATAAGTGCATTTTCATAAAATTGAAGCGTTTCATGCACTTCAAGATTACATGCATGCAATCTTGAATTGAGAAGGTAAAAGAGAAAATTTACATTTAAAATAAGAAAACACAATTGCATTGTCTTATTTTAAGTGCATTTTATCTTATTTATCTTTATTAAATTTATTTATTTTTACTTATTTCTAGATCGTTTTTCCAGTGTAAAAACCTCCTTTTAGTGTCAACAGTACCGACCTGCTTTCCATCAATTTCAATATCCACAATGTAGTTCTTTTATGTAGTTTTTAACCAGATTTAAATGAATGGGTCATACAACAGGCTTCAGCAAAGCCTGATAGTAACTAAGGAGGGAGAGCAAACCGCTAAATGTGCAGGAACACAAACACATCATATGCTTTATATAAGGGACAGTGGAGTCACATGACCAGAGCAAACTCAATTATTGCATGTTCTCCCCATACATGCGTGGGTTCTCTCCGGGTACTCCGGCTTCCTTCCACAGTCCAAAAACATGACTGTTAGGTTAACTGGCTTCTCTAAATTCTCCTTAGGTGTGAGTTTGTGCGTGAATGGTTGTTTGTTTCTGTGTTGCCCTGCGATGGACTGGTGACCTGTCCAGAGTGTACCCCGCCTCTCGCCCGTAGACAGGGGGAGATAGGCACCAGCACCCCAATCACAGCAGGGATAAGCGTGACAGAAAATGGATGGATGAATGGAACATCGGTTCATTTATTCATTTGAATGTAAAGAAATTACAAATAGCCCAACTACAACTCTGGCTTCCAGGATGAATGAGTGGTTGGAAAGGATTGTTCAGGAGCAGACTAGCATTATCAAAAAATAGGTAGAAGACAATGCAACGCTGCTTAAGGGGTTTCGAAATTGCATGGTTTATAATTATGCCTGCAAGAGTTTGGAAAATATTAGAAAATATAAATCATTGATATTTTAGCAATTTTAAGAAGGGTAAAAGCTTTATATGCAGGTTAAAGGCTGAAAACTAAGATTTATGTCTAGTTTTGTTTGATTTCATCTTGAATACTGCAGATTTTATGTAATAGTGTTTTCACAAAGTTGTGTTCTACAATAACAGCAACATAGAATCCTTATTGATTTATCGCAACAAACAACATTTACAAAAAAACGAGCAACAAGAAAAGTAAAAATCTAAATGGAGCAAAGCTTCAGGGCGTAAAAAAATGCTCTGATGTGACACGGTAAAGTAAAGCTCGAGGCCTGAGAGCTGTTTAATTAAACACACTGAAGCAGAGACATGAAGGTGGATCCTCAGGTGAGGTTTACAGGTAGCTGGTAAATTTCAGACTCACCTCAGGGACACATGACAGGAAGGGCTTGATGTAGATGTTGGAGTTGTACACCTTCAGGTCATGATCTCCCAGCCCACGAGTCACCCCAATTGTTGCCATTACACGAGCCTATACTCAATCACAGAGACACACGCAAAAACACACACACACAGGGTCAGATAACAATGTATTACAAGGTTTTTGTTCCAGGATAAGCTTCAATTCCCAGAAAATCCAATTATGACGGATTATTAGGAGAGAGCATGCTCTTTCAGAGAATAAAAAAAAAAACTGAGTGAGTCTCATTAAAGTCCAGGCAGACACCTGGACTAGAAATCAATGAGAATGCTTCAAAATTGAAAAAAGAAATTAATATAAACTGTTTAACTTCAAAGGGAACAAATCATCCCACAAAATGTTGATATAAAACATTTAAATGCATCCAAAACATTTTAAAGAATAGCCTAGAGTGTGACTAACGCTGTCCATATTCATAAAACCACAATGTTGTGCTCAGAAGAAAAAACAATAACCCATATTTTATTATATTTGCTTAAAAAGAAATGCAATTTCTTCTGGTCTTGTTCCAAAGTTCTCCAGAATTAAAGATAAGCTATATTGAGTCTTACCTTTTTCCCCTCTCCATATATCAGTGGGAATTTCAGATCATCTTCAACAATTGTCTTATAGGCCCTGCAGCAGCAAGAGAAACAAACATCTGATTATTAGATTAATGATTACTGCAGGGTCAACCAAGAAATAATGACTCTAAAGATTACCACTAAAAGCTTTCTTTATTTTCTTATTCAGCCTCTAATACATAAATCATTTATTTTAGTCGTCAAGCACAAATCACATGCAGACCTTTGTAAATACGTCTGTATGTCTGATGAAGAGTGAGCAGTTTTACCAGCCAGTCATGGTGTGGTCTCTGTAGAGCATCTTCTTGCCCAGCTCACTGTGCTGGATCCTCCGAGGGAACTCAATGTGAGTGAACTCGTTACCCAGAAGTGCAGGCCTAAGGACGCCCTGGAGGGTCATACATAATTAAAAGAGGTTGAATCAAACTAGAGAATGAAAGAAAGTGGGTAACTGTTTCAGATGTGCAACAGTGAGCCTGCAGAGTGAAAAGTAATAATGATAAAAGAAAACGTTAGCTCCAGGTATAACATAGAAAACAGATAATCAATGATTTACAGACTTCTCTGTAGGGATGGGAACCAAAACCTGGTTTCAAACGGCCCCTGGGGCGACGTCAGACGGCCCTCATGGACCAACAGGCTTCAGCCTTATTGAACCTCTTAAAGGTATTATTGAGAAAACATTGTTCTGCAGACTCCTTAAGAAACAGAGCGCTGATGGGAGGGGCTAACCTCTGCTCATACATGTCGGTCTCACTCGCATTAAAGCTGTTGTAAATTTAGCAAATTCATCCCCATATTTAGCAACCTTTCAGCTCATTTAATTTTTTATTTTTCCAAAGACCAACAAGCGATTTTTGTAGCGGCTTTTTGTATTGTTTGGGACTTTTGTGACAACTGAAAACCATCAACCTTACTGATGATCAGTCAGTCAGCCTGGCTGTGCAGCAACTACGAGAGGAGATGGCAACTTGTCTCTTTTCCCATAATGAGTTGCGCTGGATGAGCAAACTTCCAATGTTTCCACTCTAGATGACGGGATGTAAATATAATCTAAAGGTAGTCTTTGACATTTTTTTTTTTTTTTTTTTTGTCTGACACTTTTCACACCTAGATCTGCCCTGTAAATGATTTAAACTCAGCATATTACCTCATTCACTGTTGATTATTCTGTAATGCTTTGGTGAAATTAGATAATATAGACACAATCTGTCAGTATTGTTGGTTTAGGTTAAAAAATAAATTAATACTTAAGTTCATGTTTGTTAGTTTTTAGCCTATTAAGATTGTTTTTAATCACTCTGGTTTGCTCACTTTTATAATCCTCTCTCCTACTTATACACAACATACTTCTTTTTGTTAAGATATAGTGTTTTAGCATTAATTTAGCATCTGTTTTATGTGTATAGGGTCTATTTTTCTTTAATTAAAACAAATACTATTGATTAGTGCAGGGGGAACCACCTGAGACATTTTTAATTATAATCTGTTACTTTAAACGGAATTTAACACTAAAATAAAATTAGGTTTTTATGCATCCATGTTATACATTGAATTTTTAAATGAAAATAAAAATCTAAAAAAAAATTAGTAAAATTTTTCCATTTTAAAATCTAAAGTGTTTCTTGAAGTACAGAACCACAATCTTTCAGTTTGGTATATAGACAATTTCCTGATTCACATAATTTATAAAACACCTGAACTGACATTTTTTGTTTTGTTTTTATGGCTTAATGAGAGCAGTGGGCTTTATGCTGCCCCGCAAGGCTTTAAACCTGGGTTTGATTGTAGTGTAAGCCATTCTCAAGCACATATCAAGGTGTTCATTTTGGATCCTGGATCCATATTTATTTTTGATTCTGTTCATGGTGGAGAATCCTGCTTCACAGCAGCAGGTTGAGCCAAACATACTCAAAATGTGCATGGTCATCTTTGAGCATGATATTTCCCTTTTCTACCACCAGTTCACTGCAGTTCTTCTAGCATACTACACTTTCTTTCACTTTTTCTCATCGTCTTCTCCTTCTTTCCCATCGCCCGGCTTGACACAGGTTTGCCTGCTGTGTCTAAAAGTAGCAGCAGCAGCAACCCAGACTGACAGCAGCTCATTGGATCATTTGTTTGTAGTCTGGTGCCCGGACACTCTGGAGGGCTTTACCATATTAACTGGAGAAGCAGCGCAAGTTAAATTAGACTCTGCCGTCGGACAACATGCAGTAATTTATAAATGTTTTAAATCAGGTTGGGTCCGGATTAGCCAGCAGATGTGGCGAGTTCCGGATCATGGTCCACTAATCCATGACCACTGGATTAGGGTATTGATAAAACACCAGATGGGTAGGGACTAGGGAGTAGTATTTGGAGTACTAGTATTGATAAATCTTTAATGATACCCATTACTAGTTCTCTGAGCTCAAAGAACATATATGCTTACTATGAAAGACTAACAAGTGTGAGTTGTGTGTAAAATGAAGCAATACCAGGTACTGTAGTCGCTGTCTCTCAGACTCAGGGGTGAATTCATTCGTCATTGGAATGACTTCATTGTTTCGTATAATTATGGCCCTAAAAAGGGAAACAGAGGAACAGTTTGGTCAGCAGTGAAGCTGAAAGAAAAAGTTTCCATGATAAAAACTTAAATGAGTTAATGACATTTACCTGCTGTCTCCAGCATTGGCTACATAGAGTTTTCCCATTAAATAAATGACAGCTAAGGCACAACAGCCACCAGAAATGGTATATGAAGTTTTTTCCCTCTCAATGAGGTCATCCTGGGGAAAACAGGAAAACAATTAAAGGCTGAAAAATCTCAACTTTCTCTGATCATGAGTTATTATGCCTTATTTCTTTGAGAAAATAATAACAATGAACAAGAACAAAGAGGCTTTGAAGAAAATTTTTTCTCAAGGATGTGTATCAGCATTCTAATGAGAACCAGAGAGTTAAACAGTATCAATGGAGGATACGATTACAGGGTGGCTGAATGAGCAGATCCGGTCAGTCTGCCAGAATAACAATTCACATGAGAAAGTTCTGAATCAACATTGTTATCAATTTTCTGATAACATGGTGAAAGAGTTTCAGGGCATTTAGTCCTAAATATGGGAGGATTTTACAAAGAAAAGAAAATCATTTTCAGAACAGCTAAAGAGGTTACAACTTTTCTTCTCCTTTTTAAACAGTGCATGAAACACAAAAAGCAAAAATGCATGTCAACAAAAAAAAAACCCTATAAATGCTGCGCTAGGACCTGGAATTAGATCATGTATTGCAATGCCTGCAATGTAAAAAAAAATTTTTTAAGAGCAATAAGCTTTTAAAGTCATTGTAGAAGATGTTTTATTTCTGCAGTGATGTTGGCCATCCTCTCAGTGATGTACAATGTTGGCAAAAATATATCAATAAAGCTTGAATTATTTTCAGATTTTCTAACATTACAGAAAACTATTTCTAGTCTGTAGTTGAATTCAAAATCCTTTGAAAATAAAAATCCAACATGATTTTCCTTCAGGCTGTTTTTGTTTTGTTTTATTCAATTCAGTTTATTTATACTGCGCCATTTCACAACACATGTCATCTCAAGGCACTTTACAGTTCAACCAGATCATAGTTCAACCAGATCATAGTTCTGACTTTGTTTTTTTTTTCTCTTATTCCCATCTGCTTGAAAATATTTTTCTCTATTTTCTTTGTCTGCGTTCTGTTTTACCTTCTTTTTTTTTAAGACAAAATCCGTGAAAAAACAAAAAACAAAAAAAAACAACAAGTAGGACTTCAAAAAAAATACCAAAACATATGAAAAAATAAGTCCAAGTGTGTGTAGTTCACCTCAGTTTAAATACAGCTGCTCTGGAAATCTAAAAGTTTGTTTGAGAACAGTCTTGAACAAACAATGACGATAGCCACACCAGACAGATCACAGATAAGGTTGTAAAGAAAGTTTAGCTCTGGTTATCCTAAATAGTCCTGTTCAATCCATCATCTGTCATATGTGGACATACTGTATATAATGTATATATTCCATGCACATTTTTCTTCCTTTGGCAACTCCTGCTTTGAGCATTTGAGCTGATGTAACTAGTACATTTCTCCACTGTGAGATCAATAAATTCATTCAAACAAAATATAAACAGTAAAGCACACCTGCTAAGCTACATGTAAGCTTTCCTACAACTGACAGGCAGGACAAGGAGAGACTGTGGGCATGGGGGTGGCAGCATCATTCTGTGAGAATATTTTTTTTAAAGCAGGGACAGAGAAACTTATCAGACTTAATGGAAAGATGGATTTGTCTGAAACAGTACAATCTTGGATGAAAAAAAAAAAATTGAGGCAGCTAAAGACAGGAACAAGGTGCGGAAGTTTACAATACAGGAGATCATGCATTCATGCATGCATTTTGTTGGTCATGTGTGCAATTCACGTTCCTGGTCACTGGGAGTGGTACTGGTCAAACAAAAAGAACCGAAAGATGGTGTAATTTCATTTTAAATGCATGTAAGGTTAAATAGTAACACAAAATGTTTAATAAAAATATAAAAACAGGTAAAAGGTAACCCTTATGTGAGACGGGACGTATTAGAAATCTATTAGACTCTTATTTTGTAATCAGTTGTTGAATGTCGGCAGATTTTACTGAAAGTATTATACATTTTTTTTAAAAAGCACATCAGGGCCTCAACCACCCCTCAGATGAAGATAAGTACTTCAGAGTAAGCCGCTGAGAGAGTGAGAGCTGCATTTTAACCTCGGAGCCACAGCTACAGTGGATTAGATCAAAGCATAGTCATGAGTTAGAGTGGCCCAGTCAAGGTGCAGAGATGTTCTTACCACATATATGTGGTAAAGGAAATTGCTGTTCAAACACACTATTCACCCTGACTCTTAAAAGCTGTTTATAAATAGTAAAAACTAGAAGAGATGCCCAGAAAAACATTATGTGGTTTTGATATGGCAGATATGATTTCATGAAAAAGTGAACCTCTAGAAAGTATTGACCCAAAAGGCAGAATAAAATAACAACTTATTGTTTTTATTTGTAAAAGGTTTTTAAATGAATCTGAAAATTTATCTAAACATCTTTTTTTTTCAGTTTTTTGCTTTTTGTGTTGGTTGATCACATAAAATCCTAAAAAATATATATTTAGGTTTGTGGGTGTAACATAAATAAAGAACATTTTTAAGGGATATTAAAACTTTTCCAACATACTTCATTATGTCACACCCAGAAAAAGCTAAATATGTTCATAAGCTTCCAGTGGTCTGTCAAAATCCTCTCACCATCTGTTTGAAGGCGGTTTCTATTACTCCCATCACCAAGCTCTCCAGGCTGACGACCTTCTCCATGTAAAAGCGCACCGAGGCATCGCATACAGCATCGGGGTTTTCTCCCACCTCCTGCGTTGCTCCTTTTTTCGCCTCTGCCTGGAAAGGGCTGCCGTTCTTGGCCAAGCAGATAGGAGGGGCACTGTTGGGATTCTCTAAGAGGTGACAGATCTCCCCTAGTCCGTCTCTGATAATGCGGTGAAGAAGCTTGGAGGCCATGATGGCTGCGCCAGAACCTGCATGGCCATCGAAAACCCCCCAGAAGTGAAGAGGGATCCCTGTGTTATCCTAGAATAATCAAATAAAACAGCATTAAAAAATTGGGAAATATTACAATATAAGGTATTCTTTATTTAAAAAGCTGCATTTTACTCATGAGTCTTGGCAACATTTTTCTTGCAGGTCTGAAATGCACATGCTTTTAATGCTGTTGCTATCTTTTTGAATTTATTACTCATGTTTTTATAAGATAAAACATATTGAGATAACAACAAACAGTTTTCTTCTGGCAGCTGTACGAGGTATTGATGTTGGGTCTCCGTGGGTATTGCAGAGACAGAGGGAAGGAAGACAAAAAAAGCCTCCTGAGGGCTTTGGCTGCTTCCATATGATGCAATGAATGATGGAAATATGTTGGAACCATTGAGTGTGCAAGCTTGTTTACAGGCCCAGTTAGCCTGTCCTACTGGTGAATAAACAGACCTTAGACATCTGCTTATCCCTCAGATGTTGCACGCAAGAGGGGGAAGGGCACAGAAAGAGATGATGTCATTCATTTACACCAAATGGAGGATACAAATGTGGGCGTATGTTTAAGGATGACCTAACCAAGTACTGACTGGAGGTTGTAAACAAGTGTTTAATAGTATTTTCAATCAGTCAATTAAACACTTTTTGTACAGACATCAAATATATTTATTGCAAAACTACTTTTCATTTAGCAACATGTCTAACAATAACCGATAATAATTTCAATGAAAGTAACAATACATACTCTGTGAGTACTTTTTTTAGGAGCTGTAGCTTGATTTAAAATGACATAAAGTGTGCAAAAGTAAAACTATTGCAAATAATATTTTCTTTCTAAATAAATTCTGTTATTGGTCCCATTTATGTAATGGTCAAGATTAAACAATGATTAGGTGAAAGCTTTCTTCAGTTATTGTCAAATAGAACAGAATGTGTGAACATGACGAAGCCAGATTTTACAAAATGGCCCAAATATTGTCCGTAACACTTGGCTGTTCTTTTTTTTATTTTATTTTATTTAAATATATAACATTGTACCAAAAAAAAAAAACAACCCTGCAATATTCAGTAGACTAGTGGGTAACCAGAAAATAAAAGCGCAAAAGAGAAAATCTATTTCTCTAAAACTGTAGTTGTTAATTGTTTTATAACAAACATTCAAAAATATTAGGAACGGTCTTCTTTGCATAGCATACACCTGGGATCTTGCCTGATATGGTTTGACTGTTGCTGCTTTTGTGGGCCTTTGTGGGATGGCTTGTGTGTTATTACCCTGCCACTGGGAGTACAGCTTAGCTGGTTCAGTGGATAATAGCCTGCTTATTCATCTGGTCTCTATTTCTTTTGTGTACCGCTCCAGTCAAGTAGCCAAGGTCTTGGAATCTTTGTTTGGCAGTTTCCAGGGTCTAATGTATGGGTATCTATTTGGATCATCGGGGTATTGCTTTGCCAGATGCATCCTTTTGGAGTTCTGATAGTCAGTTTACTACTTCCTGTTTTGCCTTAAAATTTTGGCTTCCAACCTTCTCCCCCATGGTGGACATTGTAAACTGTGGACATCCTTAACGTTACCTTGGCCAAGCTCATTGGATTCTGTGATGGTCGCAGTAGGGATTGTTCTTAGTGCTGTATTCACATCATCCAGCAAATCATCTTGAGGCACCTCAAAAAAACTTTGGTAGCCAATGTTAGGGTTGACAAGCTCTCATTATCTAATCTCTTAGGTCAGTGGTTCTCCTATTCAGTTGTTAATGAACCATTGGGGCTTTGTACCCAATATCAGGGACCCTGATGTTGACCCGTCTGGCCTTGTTTCTTGGCTCTCTGTTGGCATAAGTTTCATGTTTATGATCTCCTGGCACTCTAATTGTGAAAAAAAAACCCTACCTTTTGAGGATGTTGGAACACTGAGCTACTAGATGTTTAGCAGTCTGCTCAGATTTTGTGTATCAAAGCATTTTTGTTTTCCAAAAGTCTTTTTATTTAGCCCTACCTGATAGGGTTACTGGAGTACTTTAAATCCGATTCAATTCAGTTCATTCATATAGTGCCCATTTACAACAAGTTATCCCAAGGCTTATTACGGAGATAATAATGTCATATTAGTTAGGAAAATCAGATGATTGCATCCAGTCAAGGACTTGCAACACATGCTCCTCCTGGATAAGCCTGCAGCAATGACCTTCGCATGCATTTTGTTGTTGACTCCTCAGCAATCCCTCACACCGCACATGCATGTAGCAACAGTGGAGAGGAAAAACTCCCTTTAAACAGGAAGAAACCTCCAGCAGAACCAGGCTCAGTGTGAGCGGCCATCTCCGAACCCAACTGGGGTTCAAGATTAAAGAAGCAGACATACATAAAAGAAGCAGATATACAAAAGGTAACTATTAACTAGATCCACAGGTGGCCCTGTCTGCGTAACACAGAGCCAGGGGGATGAACTCCAAACCAATTCTGCACGTCACAGTAAAAGATACATGCCTACACTTGAAACAGTTCAAGCTCTAATATCTATAAACAGAGATGTTGATGGCAGCAGCACAACTGACAGGAGCAGACCACATGAAGCTACTAAAACCAGAAAAAAAGCAGAGAGAATATAGAGTTATGAGTGGAACTTGACAAATACAGTACAATGGGAGAATAGAGATAGAATGAAGCGGAATGAGGAAAACTGGTCCCTAGTATCATTCCAATAATGCCTTGTTTGTTGATGTGTCCATCGTCTTTGTGTTCCAGTAGCTCACTTGCAATCATATTGGGCTGTTTTTTTTAACACTTGATGGAGACCTTGTTTGAACGGGCGACGTCTGAGTCAATATGGTTCCATTTTTACTTGCACTCACATACTGAGGTTGGCAGTGTGCCCTAAGACTTTGCCCAAGGAACAACATTGAATGATGTCATTAGCCCGCTATATATATATCCCCTTAGATTTATATGCCCAATGCTTGCAGGATTTGAAGCATGGGAGTCGGACACCCTATCAATATTTATATAATTTCTACCTTAAATCTTACTTCTGCTATCTACATATAGGAAGTTTAAAAGCATGTGTCATTGTTTTGTTTTCTTAAAAAAAGCTTCTTAGCAAAGAATGAGTTTATCATTTCCTATCATGACCCTACATCATACCTTTTTCAAGTGTATGGATAAATATTGTAAGACACTTTCAGAAAAAGCATCTCATGGTCTTTATCACTAGAGCACTATTTGTTTAAGTGAAGGTCAGGTATAAAATACATTATCAAAAAGAAATTCCCTGCCAGCCTTTGACCGGACCATTTATTCCTCGTTCCTTGTTTTTGCTCACCCCGTTGTCGTCTACCACAGTGGAGTTTCTGTTTTTGCCGCTCGGCTTTCTCACAAATAGCTTCTCACAAGAGGCCTGGTCCTCATTCAGCATGCTCTTCCCCGCGTTGATTGCCCTGAAGAAGAAGGACACAATGAGTTAAAAATGAAGCCATGACTTTTCTGACAAAAAGCAATCATTCAGGGCCCTTTGACCACATGAAAAATATTTCGGCTAGAAGACGGAGGTAAAATTAAGAGAGAGGTAGAGAAAAAAGTAGGACAGGATGAAGTCTTGTCCCAAAGGAAAGTTACAAAAGAGGATTAAGTGTTTTATGATGAGATGATGACGATGGATGATAATGGCTTTAGAGTACAGCTCTGTTCCAAACTTAAAGAGCATCATTTGTCCTGGAACATACTGCAGCAGAATTTACTGAAATAGCTGGTGCAGAGGAAAGGTTGTGGACAATGCTGACAAAGAATGTAACCATCATACAATCAAAAGCAGTCTATAAAAAGAAGAAGATTTGATAAGTTAACGCTGAACTTTATCTTATTCTTTATGTTTTCACATTGATTTGTGCCAAGGAGTAAGGTTTGCCTGGGGTAAGACTAGTGTTGCATGGATAAACTTGCCTTACCCTGACCTGACCTGTTTCAATCATGTTGCAATGTCTTTCTATACAATAACTACAAGTATTACCGGTATGTTGTACTACCAATAGAGCTTTTAGACAAATTCCTTGTTAAAAAATATATAAATATTCTTGTTAAATTTGTAATATAAACTGTCAAACAATAATGTTCTGTCGCACTATGGTGAGGGATAAAAGTGCAGACAAACTCCATTAATTGATTATTTACTCCTTTTTGAACGTAAAAAACTAAAAAAAAAAAACCCTGGACTTAGATTTAATCATGTCAAATTACAAACCTGTAAGCAAACTTACAAATCCATTAACCTCATACAAACTTAAAAAAAATATTTGCCTGACAGTGAGAAATATAGAGTCAGGTTTCTTTGCTCTTGATGAATTAGTTACTTCATTATTTATTCTGCAAAACTGGTTCTTTAAAGTCAAGAGGGAAATATTTGGCTCTACAACTGAGCTGAGCTGAATGTTGTTGTAAATTCAAACCAGGAATTGTTGTCATACACTTCAATTTCATTAAAAGCTTGTAGGAAATATGGAATTAGAGGTGCTATTACTTTAAATGGAAACTAAAAAGAATGGCTACAGGAAAAACTAAACAAGTCTGCTATTCATAATGTTTAGGCAACAGTGTAAAAAACTCACTGCCATGGTCAAGCTGCATGGGGTGAAGCTTGAAAGGCAGCAATTTGGATCTCATACTGTGAGGTTATGTAACAATTCCAAGCTTAATTATAGATAAATACTAAATTAGCACATTAACCGAGCACAGTGTGTCATGAGGTACCTCTGAATATTTTTGCTGCTGAGGATTTAGCTGTAAAAAAATAAAAGAAACAGGCAAGAGTTTGATACTAAAAATAACGGTAAGTAGATAAAAGATATGAGCAACAGAAACTAAACCATTTATTTTGGGTGAATTATTTTTAGATAAAATCATAAACGCCTGTTTGTCAGACTGAAAACAGCCTGTGGCGTTGAAATTATTAAATCTGGATTACAGAAATCCCTGACAGTCTCTAATCAGCTAAAAGCAAAGGACAGGCACTACAGTGTCATGCACTGCATGGCATTTAGCTTCGGGGGCTAAAAAAAATGGTGAAAAATGTAACACTTCTGATTGCTATCTTCACTTTCTGCCATGGCCAAGACTCCTGCAGGAAGCAGATGCATGACTAGGAAGAACAAATCTTCCTCTGTTCTGCAGCACCATCACAGCACTTCCACAAGGGCTCCTTCTGTTTGATATAAGCCTCCGTGTTACCTGCCATTCTACGGTTGCACTGAACTAAACCATGCCATGTTTTTTTTTTTTTTTTGCTTGTAAGGTCAAATGGAAGGCTCTGCAGCATTTAGAAAATGCAGAACAAATGCAGAGGGCAGTCTTATATTTACTAGTATCAGATGGATTTCTTTCATAAACCCTTTTATAGACATCTTTGATGAGATATGATTAAATCTTCTCTTTCCTTATCCTAAATTTTCTGATTCACATTACGAGTCAGAGATGACTCAGTTACATGGCTCAGGGATTTATAATTATACATTGCTGTTTGCTGCGTGGGTGGATTTTACTTTAAACCCTAAGCTCCACCCCATCGAACATGTGAGTGAACTCCTTTCACAAGGCTTTTTTTTTAAAGTCAGATGTTTGCCAAACCTGTGACTCAAAACCATACTGTTCATATTTGGAGAATCAGTGTTTCTCCTGCTGTATGTTATGCAAGGAAAGTGCAAAAAAGGAAGTCAGTAGTTCCTGTGAATTCTCTTGTTGCGACTGACGTGCTTTCTAACCTCACAACTGTGATGCAACTGTCACTCTTCAGGCGTAATTTCTGATATGGTAAATACTTTGAATTCAGAAATACCTCTACTAAAAAGTGCACTGGTTTTCAGATATGCTTGTAACTCTCAACCACGTTCCCATCTTCTGTTTCCTGCTTGCTTAGTAACTGAGCTAGCTCTACAGTGGAAATTGACCGATTGACAAAAACAGCAGGACAGGTTACACAAAATCTACCAGATATCCTTATGACACATTGAAGAATCAGATCCTTCATGCTTTAAATTCCTCTTCAGGGAGAGGAAGCCATTTGGCTCATGGAGAAATGAAAGCTGCCTGACAGGACAGGGCAAAGAGAAAACACCCAAAGTGAAAACAGGCACTACACTAACTTGTGCATTGTTAGAAACAAACAGTAGCTTTTATTATTAGGGCATTCTGAGACTGTACATCCTGTCCAACACTTAATGAAGAGTCTGGCCAGACATTACTATGAATGTTCAGGGTATTGAACTTTGTGTGTGAAAATGTGCCTTTTGACATATATTTCTACATATATATAAGATTCATTTAAATACCCTGGGATTTTATCAAGTAAGGATGGTAATCTGGATGAACTGCCGGCACTGACAATGTTTTCAGGTGGACTTTCTCACTTCAAAATAGATTCAAACTACTTTTTACCCACTGATCAAAGCAAATGTAGCTGCCCAGCAGACAACACTCAACCCCTCCCTAGAAAAAAAGTGTCGAAATCTGGTCACCCTAGCAAAGATGCTTCAGCCGTATATCTAAACTAAACTTGTACAAGCATCAAAATTGAAGCAGCAAGCACGTTTTTGCTGCTCTTGCTGCTTTAGGTGTGAATGTAGCATAACAGTGGATAGCTTTCAGCCATTGCGTCCTGCACGAGCATCGGGGGGTCGATTCGTTCATGTTTTAGGTTACGCACGGGGGGGGGAGGGACAAAGCAGAAAACCATGATTGATGTGTCAGGAACCAATCGTGAACAACGGACCGTCTTTTGTGATTGGATGGGGTTATTCATTGATTTCTCTCTGTAGCGGGGACCATTTATTTTGGTTTTCACTGCGTCAGAAAAGATCTCCTACTGCACCTTTAATTATCTTATTGGTGGTAAAAGAAACAGGTAGTCAGAGGATGGGATTAGGAAGGTTGTTATTTCAAAAATATAAAAAAAAAGCATCATCTTATGATTAGATGGTATTAGTTACATGTTGGTATAATACAGTCAAAAAACAATAACTAGTGATGATAGAAAACAGAATTTGCAGCTGTAGGGCTAGGGGAGTACTTTTTATCTCAAATATGTTGAGTTCTGTTACAAGTTTGTAAAAAGTGCACAATTCTTAGCTGTTTATCACGCTGGACTGTACAAATGTAACAGATTTTGCAGGTCAACTCATACAGCTTCATGCTGTAAATAGCACCGGCTCTAACACTCTGACGGTGTGATTACCGTTTTATGTAAATTGAACACCCAAGTTGTTCACTGTAGAATACGGCACGACTGCTTAATCTAAACCATCAGTCAGTTTATGAGGCCCATTCACCCTTCTGGGAGGTCATTGCTGTGTCTCTGGGGACTTTTTGATGAGTCAGCCTTTTTCTCTCAAAAACTTCAACACTGAGTCAGGAGCTGCCCACATACTGGTGGACTGAAGCTTGTGTGTCACACGCACACAAACACATACAGCTGTGTTTTCATGCTTTATGGGGACATTTCATTTCTTTCATTTTATATGGCCTAAACCAGACCTTACTCCCTAACCTAAACTGAATTCACACCTCAGTCCTAAAGCTAACCCAAACCCTAAGAAGAGAACTTTACCATATGGGGATCAGTTAAACATCCCTATATGCAAAACAACTCCTCCACAATGCAGATAAAACAACCACAAGTTAGCTATCCTGTTTGAACAAGAATTCTACACTGACTTCCATTCACTTTCAGTTGAGTTTTATATCCTAATTCTGACCCAAAGCTAAACTCAATTCACACCTTAGTCCTACTAGGGGCCCAAGGTGGGGCAAATGTTCAGAGGGGCGCCTAACAAAAGAACAGAACAATAACAAAAAAATGACAATAACACATAGCTATAGTTACATAGATATTAAATGAGCCGCAAAGCCACATTTGCTGATCCCTGATTAAGCAGATGAAAACTGTGATTCTATCTTAATACAGCTGAAGCTTGAAGTGATGCTCCATCATTTCTAAACATCTGTTAGAGTAAACTGTAAAGGGAAAGATTAAATCAGTCCAATGAACAAAGAAGGCACAGTCTCTTCTATCAGCACATGTGAGAATTTTTTTTAGTGTTGTAAGTGCTTTTGAATTCTTGTTAAAATTAATCATTCATAATTTATGTTGTTGTTTAGGTAAAACTTTAAATGAGTAAATTCATGGACGTGTTATAAGATAAAATACGGGTTAATTTTATAATTTATTTCATAAGTTTGCTCTTTTCTGCACTTTTATGTTTAGCCAGGAACCAATGTTCATACTTGTGTACCACTACGTTAAATTTAATAGATGCTACACTATGAAGCAAGATTACAAAGCCTGATTCAAGCGTGTAAAGAACCTCTCTTCATGACAAGCGGCTAATGAGGTATTATTATTTGTTTTAATGATAAATCTGTTTATTCTTATGCAGCACAGAATCTTGCTCTT